GCAAGACAGAGAAACTTGCCTAGATTTTCACAGGTGGCCCAGCAACAGAACTAGAGCTCACGTGTCCTCCACAGCCCCTAGGAGTGGCCAAGCCTGTATGGCAGATGTACTTGATGCCTAAAGGTGAAGGGGGTCCAGGAAGGGCTCGGGGAGCTGGTATTGAACACTTCCTGTACCCTGGACGTGGGCATAGGCCCTTCAGGGACGCTCCTTTGTACCTCTGTGCAGTCAACACCCATCATTATGTTTACCAAGCGCTTGGCTGCACGAGGCAAAGGAAATTCAGTTATCAGGAGGGTAAAGAAACAGTCAGCCCCTTGCCTCTTTCTCTCCACCACACACGGTCACGGAAAGTCGGCTAATCCCACCAACTCTAAGGTTGGATTTTCTGAGCAAAGCTTCACTCAAGACACAGCTATACCCACAGTTCACATTAGCATGAAGGAAAGCATATTCTACAACTGCCTAAGATTTTGTTTTTTTAATGTAGCTTTTAGACTTTGAGAAATTTAATCAAAACTGTCATAAAAGGGCATTCTCGGGCTTCCCTGGTGGCGCAGTGGTTGAGAGTCCGCCTGCTGATGCAGGGGATACGGGTTCGTGCCCCGGTCTGGGAGGATCCCGCGTGCCGTGGAGCGGCTGGGCCCGTGAGCCATGGCCGCTGGGCCTGCTCGTCCGGAGCCTGTGCTCCGCGGTGGGAGAGGCCGCAGCAGTGAGAGGCCCACATATGCATGTGGAAACGGAGAGCCAAAACCACAAAAAAAAAAAAAAAAAAAAAAAAAAAAAAAAGGGCATTCTCCTTTGACTTAGCCTTTCCATTTCAGTAGCAGAAATGTTGCACGAGGCAGAAGAAGAAAAAAGTAATTTAAAAACACCATTGAACTGAATCTATGGAACACTATTTTGTAGAAAAAGCCCACACGGCTAGAGGCTCCCTAGGGAGCAGGACAGCACTTGATAGCATTTTCGCTGGCAGCTTTCGAGGGAAAAATTTGTCTTAAGATCCAGGGTATTACTGGGGCTTTAAATAAGTGTGCTGCTGCAAGAGCTTTGACTTTGGCCTCCTGTGGGGGAAGATGCCTTATAGAACATCAGGAACCACCAGATTGACACGCAGACTACCTGCCTCACCTGTGTTAATTTCCAACAGTGAACAGGATGGAGGATAAAAGGCCCCAGGACCAGACCCTCAGTGAAAGAAAACTCTAATCATCACTAAGAAGAACAAATAATAATAAGAAGAGCTCTTCTTACATTGGGCTTTACTATATGCCACTTTCCACCCATTAATTAAATTAATTCTCATAAGAGCTCCATGCATTTGGTGCTGTTCGATCCCTGATCCCGAGACGGGCAAGGTGAGACAGAGTGTTCGGTCTGTGACTTGAACTAATAACACAGAGGACTAATAATGCAGGACTCCTGGGCCTGTGCTACTAAGGAACTAACCGGTGAGTGTGACACACAGCAACTGACTTAAGAGCTACTTTTGCAATGTTTCTTCCCAGCTTTGAGCGGGGCCTGGAATTATTTACAAAGAATTTAGGGGCAGGTGAGACCCCAGCAAACCTGTGATACAGAGTTCATCCTTTTTAGTCCAAATGATCTCAAGGTCAGAGAATCAGCTTCTGGAATCCTGTAGCTGATTGAATACCAGCACATACAAGGTCATTATTGCCATTGGTAGCTGGCTTGCAAATGGGCTTTGAAATGTCTTTTGTTGTTCTTGCTGCTTTGAAGGCTTTTTTATTTAGTTGTTAACCTTTCTCCTGCATCATATTTTTCCCTGTGACGCTAAAGGCCTCAGGACTTGAATTTGCCTGTGACCCCAGCTATCAACAGTACCAAATTTTTTTTCTTAAAATCTACTTTGCATTAATTTGTCTAAGGCCCATCCCTCCATTGGCAGTAAGACATCAGAGCAGATGTTGGCAAGCATTTTCTGTAAAGGGACATATAGTCACTGTTTCAGGCTTTGCAGGTGCCATGGTCACTGTTGCAACTATTCAACTCTGTGTGGTTGCCATTGACAATACTATACACATGGGCGTGTGACTGTGTTTTAATAAAACTTTCTTAATACAGGTGGCAGGGCAGATTTGGCCTAGGAGGCTTCCTATGCATGGCCCCTGCACCAGAGGGGTACACTTCTTGCCTACTTCCGATCTGCTTCCAAGTACAGAGCCCTGGTCACCTCATACCTTGGGCGTCTCTCTGCCCCTTGGTTGATTTGGCCCCAGAAAGGTGGAGCCATGTGTCAGATTGGTGAATTTAGGAAGAATAAACTGACTCTGCCAAACTCAACTCTGCCCCTTTTCCCGTGGTAGTGTCTGGCCCACAGGGGGTAGAGGGGTCTTCTCTGCTTTTTCTGGCGCCCACAGCTCTAGTGGCTGGATGGGTAAATCCATCTGATTCAGAGCTTCAGTCTCCCCAGGCCCAAACCCATTTGCCCAGAGTCCTTAGCGGGATCCTGCACCCTGGCTTTTTTCTCTGACAGATAGGCATCTTGGCCCCCACCTGCTTAATCCTTTATCTTATTTCCCTATAGCCTCAAAGTGGTAATCAATAAGACCCCTCAAAGATACACATAAAATGGTGTAGTGTGAATTTTTTCATTATGTCAAGAAGCCAGATAATACTTATATACTTTCAATAAAACAGCATGGACCAACTTAAAACATCAAGACTCCTTGATTTTTGGCTGGTTCTCTCATGCTGTGCATTAATGCTATGCATGACTCATAAATTCACTGGCAATAAGTTCTTTCAAAATATATTGCTCATGGGAGGAAAAGATATGAGGTCCATGGTGGCTGTGAGGTTGGGAACCACTGCTCTCAATCCCATTCCTGTCTTAAACATCAGCATAGATATTCAAGCCCGGGCCAGTCAGGAAACAGGGAGGCAAGGATAGATGAGCTAGAGGCATCCCCTTTCTTCCTCCTGTCCTTTTGTCCTTCCATATCGTCAAAGCCAAGCAGAGAGGCACTACCAGATACAAGAGATCCTCCTGGCTGAGGTTTATGTGTTGGTTTGCTGGGGCTGCCACAACACGAAGTACCCAGAAGCAGGGGCTAAGCAACAGACATATACTGTCTCACAGTTCTGGTGGCCAAAGTCGGAGATCAAGGTGTCAGCAGAGCTGCTTCCTTCTGAGGGCCGTAAGGGAAGGATCTGTTCCCAGCCTCTGTCCTTGGCTTACAGACAGCTGTCTTCTCCCTGTCCATCATTTCCCCTCTACGCAGGTCTGTCTCTGTGCCCAAATTGCCTCTTTTCCTAGACGGCAGTCATTTTGGATCAGGGCCCCCCACTAATGACCTCACTTTGATTATCTCTGTAAAGACCCTGTCACCAAATAAAGTCACATTCTGAGGTGCAGGGGATTAGGACTCTAACATAAGAATAATAGGGGGACAGGGTTCAACCCCTTACAGTTGTCTAAACTGGAAACTACTGCTTCTGTTTGCACGGCTAAGCTCCGTGGTATCCTTTCACATGTGGCAAGTACTCAAATGTGTGCTGACCTGATCTAAATGGGGATTAACTTGGGCTCTGTGGATTGTGGGTAGGGAGAAGAAAAGGATGTGTTTGGTGGGAACACCTCACACATCAGGAGGGAAAGACCTCCTTCCTCCCAGGCACTTGGTTAATCTATAGATCCCTCTTCAGGCCACCCCTTATCACTGCAGGCTGAGCATCTCCAATCAATGCGCCTTTTAATAATGATGCCCCTGCTTCCCCAGCTTCAAGACAGGCTGCAGCAACGTACAGTACAAGACACTGGATGGAGACTTTTAGGAAAAACATGGAGAAGAAAGGAATAAACGACCCCCGCAAATTCTGAATGTTTCTTTTCCTTTCGCTTTTCTTCCTGCTTTGGCTGCAGGGTGGCCTTCGCAGACCCTCAGGCTTTCCCCACTACTCGTGTGCGCCTGGTGAGGCCCGGCCACAATCCTGGGACTCTCCCAGCCGCGCTCTCCCTGCCAGCGGCAGTTCAGCCCTGCCTCGAGGTTTCCTTGTTCGCAGGCGGGCTTCTAGGAAGGTTTCCGCGCCCTGGGCGGTCCGGGCGCAGTCACTGTGGCGAAAGCCTTCAGGTAGTGGCTGTTTTCGGGCCGGCCCAGGCCTGCGGCAGGCAGACCCCAGAAGCAGCGGTGCCCCTGCCGGCTGGGTGGCCCCGCGCTCCTGCGACCCTCCTCCAGATCCTGGGCACCAGGCTCAACTTGCTGCTCCCGGTAGAAGGAGTAGAAGCCCAGGGGCTCTCCCTCACTTCCCGGGGGAAAACTCGGCCCACCCCTAAAAGGCTCCGAACACCCGCTGAGCAATCCCGGCCGCCCAGCCCGCACGCCCGGCCTCGCAGCCCCCTTCCAGGTGAGCGTTTTTCCCCTCCCCCCATCCCCACACCCGGCTCCGCGCCTGCCCATGCTCTTGTGGGGGGCGCGGGGGTCCACCTTACGCCGATGGTAGTAGTCGCGGTACTCTGGGGTCTAGGAGCCCCAGAGGGAGGCCACTCTCCCACCCTCCCACCCCCTTTGACCCGTACGCCCCCTGACTCCCTGCGCCCCGCACAGAACCCCGCACAGGCAGTGCCGCTCAAGCCCGCCCCAGCTCTTCCGTGCAGCCCCGCCCCCGGAGTCCTAACCCGAATCTGCAGCCCCACCTCCCCGGCCCTCCACACTCCGCGGAGCGGCCCCGGCCTGCAGCCCCGCCCCCAGAAGCCCTCGCCTGCAGTGTAACCCCGCCCCCAACATCCTCCCGGGCAGTGTAGCCCCGCCCCATCCCTTCTCCCTCTAACGGCCTCCCCGGAGGTGCCCCATTCCCCCTCCCCCAGGCCCTTCCGGGATAGTGCGGCCATGCCCCCAGGACCACTTCCTGGCAGTGAAACCCCGCCCCCAGCACCTCCCTGGCCCCTCCCCCGCAGTGTTGCGCTGCCCTCAATCCCCCCCCCACCTCCCGTCCCTGCTCTCCAGCCCGCCCCGCCCGCCCCGCCCCGGGCCACTCACCCTGCCCTGGCGGTAGTAGTAGCTGTACTCCTTGGGGTCCTGGCGCTGCGGCGGGACGTAGCTGAAGGCGGACAGCGCGGAGATGGGCGGCGGCCGGGGCTTGCCCCTCAGCGTGGCGGCGGTTATCTCCTCCTCGTCGTCCTCCATCCGGCCGCAGTGCTCGGTCCCGCCCGCCGAGGGGCCCGGTCGCAGTCTGCCCGCCGCAGGCTGCCCGGCGCCCGCGTTCGGCCGTTGCCTGGAAACCGAGGGGGCGCAAAGCTAGGCTGGACTGCGGGGCGGGGAGGGGGTGGGGCCGACCCGCCCCCGACCCCCGGCATCTCTGTGCACACCCGGGTCTTTCCTTCTTGGGGCGTCGGGGGAGCTTCACCTGCTAAAGCCGCTGCGGCGTTCCCGCGTGGGAGGCACCTCTGGGATCCGCACTTTCCACCCTGCTTACCCTTCTCCACGCAGTGTCGGTTCGTTCACTCAGAGACCATTGTTCGCTGGGCAGTTAATGACCTTGCACCTACTGAGTGCCAGCGCTGGGGATGTAGCCTTGAACCAAGCAGCCCTTGTCCACCGGGATCTGACAGTCTGGTGACGAAGACAGGTGATAGATGTGAAAACGCAAGTAACTTGAAGAGGGTCTGGGACAATGCTGCCCAGTAAGAAGACAGAGAGGGCCGCGTGTGTAATGTAAAACTTTCTGGCAACCTTGCTCTCATCCTCCCCTGGGCAGAAGTCCTCATAAAAGCACCAGCAAAGGAAAACAAAAACAAAAACAAAAAGAACTCTTATAGTCTACTGCCACTTTCGACCTCTCCAATCTCTTTTAAAGACCGGATATAGGAGCTCAGCTAATGGTCAGGAGTCTTCGCAAGCCTGGCACAGGTGATCTGATCTCACACTTTGCAAAATGTGAGCAGTCGACACCAATTATCTTGAGACCTCAGGTAAAAGTGAGACCAAAATCATTTCATTGAAAAATCCTTTTCCATAGCTGTGTGGACGTGCTTCTGTTAGCTTCGATTTCTATTTCAATTTGTTCTGCACCAGACTGACAGCTGCACAGGGCATGGTTGCACACACACACTCTCTCTGATGGCTCAAGTCTGGCACACAGTAGGTACTCAACAGATACTTGGTGAATCAGTAAGAAATACAGCTGCCATAATGGCTTGGGTACCTTCTAAAGGTGAGTCTGAGACAAGGGCTTGGATGCTCTTGTTTTATTTGGGAGGTAATTCCAAGGAGCCGGCGGGAGGGAACAGAGGAGTGAGTGCAGCAGGGAAGTCTGTATAAGGCTGAATTCTCAAGGTCACCCCTGAGGGCAGCTGGAGCTTGACCTTGCCCAAGACTTTCTGAGGAGCCTGGAGCAGCCTCTCAGAACCACCTGCAGTTCAACATGAAGGCACTTTTTATTTCTTGTTCCCAGTCCTCCTGGGGTGAGACTGCCTTCTGGTTTGTTCACTCCTGACTTTGTAGGACCCCTGCCCAATGCTGCCTAGGCTCCCTGTGGGTCTCCTCGGTGCCAGAGAAGCCCTGGGGCTGACAGTGACAGGTACAAGGCATCAACTTGAGGCGGCATGCTGCTGTCAGGAGGTGGGTGCAGCCCCATGGAACGGCCACCACGCCGGGGGTGGATTCAGATGTGAGGCTGAGAGGCTGCAGGGTGGGAAGCAGAGGTGGAGGAAACAATAGGTAAGACCAACTTTGCCAGTTTCAATTATCAAGAGATTTTAGTTCCTTTTTAAAATAACATTTTTCCTCTATGATCCTATTATGTATTCTGGGGACATGAGTGGAATAAAAGGTCAAAGAGTCTAATGTGTTTAAGTCCCTTGTGTCTGTGACTTGTACTTGCAAAGTTCTGCGTGGGGGGAGGGAAGGATAAAAGAATGAAAACCCTGCTCTTAAAATAAGTGGGTTAATAGTACAAGAAGGCATGCTGAGTACAAGTTAACTCTGCAGGAGATCAGATCAGCTTTGTTTCACATGTCAGGTCTACAGTCCTCTGCTCTACCAGCTGAGCTATCGAAGGGTGCACAGATGAGCTTTGTTTCAAATGCCAACCTCAGTAGTCTGGGATGTCTACCCCCCTAATCCCATGACAGCCTCATGGATATACACCGGCGCCCGCAGCTGATCCTGGGTGATGACGTTGCACTGGTCTGGCTTAGGTTGACATGGGCGTACTGACCGCTTACTGTTCATGCAGCCTGCTCTGCAGGTCCACCGGGGCCTCGGCTGCCTGCAGCTCCCGGCTGGATGACACACTGGAGGGCGGCCTCCACTGCAGAAACTCAGGCAGTTCATGGGAGCATTGGAGGCGCCTAGTCCAAACTGCAGCTGGGACTTGTCCCGTTTCTCTTGACATCTGGGCAGAATGTAAGCAGGGGGAGACCTGGTAGGAAGAAGTTCTGTTAATTTGAGGCAGGGAAGGAGAAAGCTAATGTTGTGTGAGATTAGCATGTCACATGTCACATTAGTGGTGGTTTCAGCACATCTTGGGCAGTGTGTGTGTTATATTTATCATGAGTCCTCATGAGCCCACAGACTTGTTAAGTTCAGAAGAACCCTCTGGTTCTTTATGCTGATGAGAAAACTGAGATGTAGGTAGGATAAGTGACTTGATGCAGGTGACAGGGCAGTGGGTACCCCTCCTGAAAGATGTATGGAATATCTGGAAAGGGGGGGGGCTGGTCTGAGGGAATGGTTTTCTCCTTTGGAGCCCTCAGACCATTCAGAGATGGGGCCACAGCCTGGACAAAGCACAAAGCTTTAGCCCGCGATTCTCAGCCAGCGCACTGACGCAGCCAAGGAACAAAGTGTCCAGATGGCCTCCTCTCCACCTTGTAAACCTTTGTTAACTGAGGTGGAGAGAGGGGGGAAAATCACCTATGAATACATGAAAATGCCATCATCTTTCTAAAAAATCTTCTGTTGAAAATGCAGAAATTTTAAAACAAGGTTGATATCTCCATTTTAAGTTTGAAAGCTTTTACAATCATGTTATTTGTAAATGTCACTGTAAACTCACTTAAGTGGCCCAACATAATTGGACTTTAATTCACAGGCTTTAAAACAGCTTAAAATCCCTTGGATTAAGTACTCCTCTGCTTTTATGATGGTTCAGAGTTAATAGGGGTGGATGGACAAACACACATACCCGTCACCGGCTAGGAGAACTGCCCATCTGTGTACCCAGCAAACCTAAAGGTCATTATGAACTCAAGGGGTATGAAAGGGTGCTCCTGCTGCACCTTTTCTGGATCCCCCATCAGTGCTGTTTGACAGTGAGAGTAACTGCATGACCCTGGCTCCTGCGACAGGGGAGCCACTGCCCGTCCTCCAAAGCATCTCCACAGGCTCTGGGGCACGGGCAGTGGTCCGTGATGGGGTAATACGCCTTTATCTCACTCGACACCTCCTCCCTGGTAACGAGGCGTGAGTACTGCTGGTAGACTTAGAAAGCATGTTTGTCATCAGGTTTTTCCTGTAGGCTGCGTCACTCACTTGATGGAGTCCCTTGGAGTCACATTAAGCATCAAACTTATGAATCAAGACATATAAGTGCAAATTTAATTTTGGCTTGTTCACCTTGTCGATTTTGAAATCAAAATGAATGTGATTTTATAGATGCCCCCAATGAGAAACCCCCGATACCGACGGCTCTAGCAGCGAGCAAGACCATGTGCCAGAACCAGAGATCCTTACAGAGGGTGGACCCCAGGGCTGAGACAGGAAATGGTAAGTGAGCCTGGGACATCCTCTTCTGCCAAGAAATTTTCAAAATCGAATGTGTCAAGGTCAAAAGGACAAAGAGGCCATCCTGAAGGGTATCCCACCGATCTAAAACAGGACAAGTTATGCATCCAAAAGACGACTGTAATGGGCTGAAGCACATCAAGTATATAAAATGTCATGAATTCATAAATATCCTAAATAAACAAACAAAATACTGACCAGATAACCACCTCTGTATTCTAAACCTTGATACAAGACACATTTATCTCATTTTCTTTTTCTGTATAAACTTATTTGTTATTGTAGTTAAGATGTGTTAGTTTCTGCTGTACAGCAAAGTGAATCAGTTATACATATACATATCCACTCTTTTTTAGATTCTTTTCCCATGTAGGTCATTACAGAGTATTGAGTAGAGCTCCCTGTGCTATACAGTAGGTCCTTATTAGTTATCTATTTTATATGTAGTAGTGTGTGTGTGTTAATCCCAATCTCCCAATTTATTCCTCCCCCGCCTTCTCCCCTGGGTAACCATAAGTTTGTGTATAAACCTTATTTTAGAGTTCAAAACTAGTTGATGGGAGAAATTTCTTCTTTATAGATGAATACAAGTAAAGGAATAAAATAAAAGGATAATAAAAATAATAAAAGTAAAGGAATGATAGCATTAGGAAATCCTTTTTTTAAAACATATGTTGGAATAATGAATCTAGGCAACAGTCATCAACAGATGCTGAAGCCATTAGGTGACAGGTTGATGGGGACTATATGGTGGATGGATCAGGCTGGTGCTGATCCAGGAACCCACTATCAATCTTAATGAGTATCACTAAGGGTAACGAGACATTACGGTATGATGTAAAACAAATACACAGCATCTCCTCTGAAGCATCCTTGCTGAAAAAATTAAGCTGAATCTAAGCAAGCCTCTGGATGTAACTTTTAGTTTAACAGGAAATATAGCAAAGGAACCAGTTAGAAAATGTCAAATCAATACTGTGGGATATTTTACAAGGCAATTGATCTAACTTCTCCAATAAATTAATAACATGGAAACCAGGTGAGGGAGGGGGGCAGTTACAGACATGAGACTGAAGACTTAGGGGTATAACATCTAAAAGTAGTATGTGGCCTTTGTTCAGATCCTGCTTCAAACAAATCAACAGTTAAAAATATTTCTGAGAGAAAGACAAATACCATGATACCATGTATGTGGAATCTAAAATATTGCACAAATAAATCCATCTATGAAACAGGAACAGACTCACAGACAGAGAACAGACTTGTGGTTGCCAAGGGGGAGTCTGGGGTTAGTAGATGCAAACTATTACATATAGAATGGATAAACAACAAGGTCCTACTGTATAGCATAGGGAACCGTATTCAATATCCTGGGATAAACCATAATGGAAAAGAATATAAAAAAGAATGTATATATATGTATAACTGAGTCACTTGGCTGTATTGAAGAAATTAACACAACATTGTAAATCAACTATACTTCAATAAAAAAAAATTTAAAAATATTCCTGAGACAGTATAGAAAACCTAGAATATAGACCAGGTATTAAATGATCACAGGTAATAATTATTAGTTTTGGGCTTCCCTGGTGGCGCAGTGGTTGAGAGTCTGCCTGCTGAGGCAGGGGACACGGGTTAGTGCCCCGGTCCAGGAAGATCCCACATGCCGCGGAGCGGCTGGGCCTGTGAGCCATGGCCGCTGAGACTGCGCATCCGGAGCCTGTGCTCTGCAACGGGAGAGGCCACAACAGTGAGAGGCCCGCGTACAGCAAAAAAAAAAAAAAAAAAAAAAATTATTAGTTTTGTTCATTGTAATAATGGCAGAATAGTTAAATAAAAAAGAAAAAAGTTTATTGGTTATGGATTCATACTGAAGGATTTAGGATAAAAGTATATGATAGCTTGGATTTTTAAAGAAACATTCCAATAAAAAAGGAAAAGAAAAAAAAGAATATGGGGGTAAATAGATGAAACAGAATTGGAAAATTTGGGTATTTTGCCATGCTGAATAAAGGGACTCATGTGAATTCATTATACTATTCTTTCTACACTTATGTGTGTTCAGTGTTTTCCATAATAAAATTTACAGTAGAATTACTGAGATATTGTTTATTGCAAACATTAGAACCCAGAATATCAGTTCAAGACACAAATAGTGTCCCCTATATACCAGAGACTGTGGGAAGAGATGGGGACAGAGATGTTTAGTTTTTTTCTGAGATGGAATTTCAAGTATATTAAGGCAAAATTTCTTATGATGGAGCCAACAGCCAAAGAACACCAACAAAAGGTAAGGCTTATTGACTACACAGGCAAGGGAGCCGGCACACCAGAGGAACCAGGCAGAGGGATGACAGGATGAGTAGAGGATGTGCGTGAAATTGAACAAAGCTGCGCTGGAGATGCAGAGAGCAAGCTTGTGTATAAGAGAACTAACATGAGGGCTGGCCTGAGAAGATGACCCGGGATGCTCAAAGATAAGAAAAAGGTAAGGGGGTTTGTGTCCCAAACCCTCTATCTGAAGCTCTGCATCGTCTTGGAAATCAAGGCTGCTTCTCTGCACCAGAATGACCCATGAGGCTCAGATCCTGCAGGCAATAGAGGTGTGTTCCATTCTTATTACAGCAAAGGTTTTACAGAATGAGGTTTCTCAGCAGGGTATCTGTGATGCTAATTAGCAAAAGGAGTGGCCACCAGTTCAAGCTGCTGCCCCAGGAGTCTTTACCGTCCAGGCAATGGTGCTCCTCCTTATAGAGCATCCCTGACAGGCTCCCTCTCCACAAGCTGTAACAATGAAGTCTGACTGCAACGTAGCTCTTGTACAAATGACAAGAGCCCTCATGGCTTGCTGAGCACTTACTGTTTTCCAGGTACTGGCCACACAGCTGACAAGGCACGACTTATTTCATGATCCTGAAACGGAGCAGGACCCTAAGGGGCCTTTCAGGGACAGTCCCCTCCTCCATGTCCTCTGCTGCAGTTCCTCTCTGAAGTACCCAGATAATAGATAATGGTATCTGACGCACATTTCCTGAGTTGTTTTACAGATGTTAAAACCACCACTAAATGGAAGAAATTACCTGATGACCATGAGAAGTAGCCCCCAGACCTAACTGGCGCCTGAGGACTGACATTAACCCCTGAGACACCACCCTGTTACCTCACCATCAACCAATCAGAGAATTGTGCACTAGCTGATCACAGATCTTGGGACACCCCCTCCCTCACTTGGCCTTTAAAAATGCTTTGCTGACGCCCATCGGGGGATTCAGGCTTTCTGAGCACCAGCTGCCTGGACTCCTTGCCTGGTGCCTGCCATAGATGCTGCACTTTCCTTCACCACAGCCCCGTGTCAGGAGATTGGCTTTGCTGCACGTGGGTGGGCGGACCCGAGTTTGGTTTGGTAACAATCCTACACTATGTATTTAGACTCCAGGTGGGTCTGGATATGTTTCCAGTTTGGGGAAATCTCAGCTTTTGGAGGCTTATTCACCAACGTGGAGCCAAGACCCTCTCCCTGAATACAAATTCAGGGAAGGGTCCAGCTTTTTTAGAGGGAACTGACTTTTAACCCCCCAGAATTCTATCAAATATGCTCAGTTCTGCTCCTTCCTATTCTTTCTTCTACCCAATGAATATTTACCAAGTCTCCAAATGCACCCAGGTGTACAGAGTCAGCAGGTAGAATCCTGGTCAAAGAACCAACCAGCATCTCTTCATCCCAAGATACCATCTACCCTCCCTGTCTAGGCTTGGTTCAGCCAAACAGCATTCCTTCTTTAGGTCAAGGTACGGAAAATTGCCTGCTTTGTTCAGGCAGAAATGTCACCGCACCATTCCACAGCTCCAGCCTGCCCCCCGCCCCCCCAACCCCCGCCAACAGGCACGCAGGATACACTCTCTCCTCCTGGCACCAGGGATCATCTCGGTTCCACTGCTGAAGCCCAATAGATGTCCTCACCTTTGCTGCCCTCTCGCGGCTGGTCTGAAGATGATCACTGTTGCTTCAGGGGTTATGCTGGCAAGTTAAACTTTTTTCACTTGTTTTTCTTTCTTTGCTTTACTTTTTTTTCTTTGCTTTGCTTTTACTTTTAAAAAACAACATCAAGAGTATGTCTTATTTAAAAACATTATTAATATACGGTACCAGGAGTTATACTGTATATGTAATTTCAACAAGGAAATTCACATCATATTTACTTACATAGGTAGACATTAAAATATTAGTGGCCTGAGGATTCAGTTTATAAGGACATATGGCTTTATAATCTTACAGAGCTTGCCAAATTTGCTCCAATTGGTGAAATCAGCAGTCTTGTATCTGTTTATTAGCCTAAACTATTTTCATAGCATATCCATGCACATTTTCAGGATTAAAATTTGCTTTAAAACAAAGTCAGTTCTGGCCTCACTCTCCATGGCGACCGTCTGCTTTGTGCTGGGTGCTCTGGCCATGGCGATGCCTGAAATGCTCTCCCACCAGAGACCTGCCTCCCTTTCTTTGAATTCAGCTCACAGATCACTCGTAGAAGCCTCCTCCTGCACCCCAGGCAGGCCTGATGTCTTCTGCCTTCCAGGGTCCTGCTCATGCATCAGGACTGCCAGCTGGCTCATCACTATAATCACCCATAGACCCTCCAGGCAGGAGCTCTTTTCTGCTTCCCTCTGCAGCTCTAACAGTCAGTGGGTACCCAGCATGATCACAGCTCTTTAATAAATGTTGAATGAATGAATGAATGAAGAGGGTAAGGGAGAGCTAAATGAGACAAAGGCTCAGGAGAGGATGTAACTAAAAGTGCAGAAGAAGGAGCATCTCATTCCAATTAGGGCAAACCAGGAACAAAAGTCCCGATGGAGAAGAATTTAGATAAATGGAAAAGGCGGAGGAAGGTTTTAGGCTATACTGTTGTTTTTCATAGCATTTATAACAGACTGCTCTTACCTCTTTGTGTGGCTATTTAAGTCTATGTAATCAAGTCTCCATAAAAACCCAAAAGGACCAGATTCAGAGCTTCCAGGTTGGGGAACAGGTGGAGTTTAGGGGAGAGTGCTGCCTGGAGATGGCAAGGAAACCCCACATCCTTCCCCATACCTGCCCCTACGAGTGTCTTTCATCTGGCTTTCCTGAGTTATATCCTTTTGTAATAAACTAGTAATCTGGTTAAGTAAAATGTTTCTCTGAGTTCCATGAACTCCTCTAACAAATTAACGGAGCCCAAGGAGGGGGTCACTGGACCCCCCAATCTATAGCCAGTTGGTCAGAAGCACAGGTCATGTGACAACCTGGACTTGTGACTGGCATCTGAAAGGGGGGTGGTGGGAAGCAGGCAGTCTTTTGGGATTGAGCCCTCAACCTGTGGGAGCTGGTGCCGCCTCCAGGTAGATGGTGTCAGAATGGAGTTGAATTGCGGGCCCCCAGCTGGTTGGAGCACTGCTGAGTGCTGTGTGGGACACCCACACCCCGGCCCCTTGGCCAACGTGTACACTGTAGTTGGGTGCAGAACGCTTTTATCCCGAAACTTTAACTTGACCGTAATGGGACAATGAAGCATCTTCAATGAACTAAAGAATTTTAATCCATGCTTAATTTAAACTTTAGAAGTTTCTCCCTCCAAACACCCCTCCAAAACCCCACTTAAGTTGCTTTTTTTACATCTTTATTCCTTTATTTAAAAAATTATAATATATATGTGTATGTGTGTATATATATTATATATACATATACATATATATATATATATATATATATATATATATAAAGCTCCTATACAGATACAAAATATTATTAACTAAAGGGTTATTTTTGCATAAGTCTACAATTATAAATGTTTACATCCAAAGTACTAGTCTATTTTTCATTGCTCCTTTTCCTTACCATATATTACTTCTTCTAACAAAATACAAAAGAAAAAACCGGGAGATAAAATTTCTTCCTTACGTTTGTTAGAAGAGGAAATAAAGGTCTCTCAAGAATATATTCTCAGTTAGCTATAACTGTCACAAAACACAAGACTTAAAATTATGACACTTACTCATTACATTCCTTTATTGTACTTGATCGATTCTGTTTGATGTATAGAAGTATCCGATACCAGTATTAAATGAAGGTTAAAATTAATTTTAAATTTGCTACTGATAAGTGTATACATGGTATAAGGAAACTAGAGACCCCTTTCAGATCACCAAAGTACATAAATAAACGGCTAATTTGCAAGTTCTTTCACTATTTGAGTTCTGAAGTCAGTATTCATTCTTATTACCAGTGACCACCAGAGTTTTGAGAAAATAGTTTTCTTTGTAAATATTCCACTAATTCAAGTCTTGATTTTAGCATCTCAATCTCGTAATACGGAATCTGTAAAGAGAGGAAAATAAATCCATCCTCATCCTTCATAATCTGAAATTACCTTGGGTTTGGTTACCCTTTCCTCCTACCACACCCTCCCCACAGCAGTGTGTAGGCTCCCAGCAGGCAGAGATCCCAGCAGTGCCTGTAACGGTGCTGCCAGGTAGCAGAGGCTCAACAATAGGTAGAATGTCTAAATAAGAATCAGACGTGATCCCTGCCCTCAAGGAACTTACAAGTTAGGTGCTAACTTAAATATACAAAAAGTAGGCAGTAATACTAAGCAGAACATGCAAAAAAAATTGGTGCTCTAGTGCTGAGAGGGAGTTGACACTTTAGATTAGGGTGAAAGGTCAACCTGAGCTGGGAGTTGATGAACAGCCAGGATTTACACACTCAGAGAGGTGGGGACCACCTGACTCGCATCGGCAAGGGAGAAAGGCAGACAGAAGAGACCACTGAGTTGGGAGCAGAGGGCCTGGCTGTGGGCAGACCTCGAAGTGTCTAGAATGTTGAGATGTAGATGTAGTCTTTATCCCATAAGCAGTAAAGAAACAATGAAGGTTTCTAGGCACACACTGGCACGATTCACTTTAGGAAAATTAATCTGGATATGTACAGGACGGAAAGGAAAAAAGTAACCAGACAGGAAAGCAGAGAGAAGATTGGTAGACAGCTTAGAGAATGGAAAGCTCCATGAACATTCATCGTGACTCATCACCTAAGACCTGGCTAAGTGATCTACGATGTAAATACATATAAGAGTCTTAAACATTAAAAACTGATGAAGAGCCTGCTTTTAATGGGACATCTTGTCCACTCTAGTCATTAAATCAAAGGGAAATTAAAACAAAACAGATATTCCAATAATTTAGTAATTCTAAAAGCAAAGTAAAGCACAGCTTATACAGAATTTAGCTATGTCTCACTTTTGGAAAAGAGAAAATTTGAAAATCGTGATTTCAAATTACAAATCAAGAGACTTAAGCCTAATGAACAAAGCTGGCATTTAAACCAGACTTAAGAGGCTTGGTCCACTGGGCTGGCATACTACTTAGTATCCTGGAAAAAGCAAATCTGAACTAGAAATGGCTTTTAGGAAAAAAAAAAACAAAAAAAGGCAAACCCATACCTGGACAACTTGATAACCAAGTAAGCACAGATGTCTTTGTTTAGTAGCTTCCTTTCCCAGTAAGTGTTTGCTATTCAAACAAAATCTTTTTGGACCATCAATGCACAGTGCTACCCTAAAAAACCAAAGAGGAGAGGGAAACTTAATTTTTAAAACAATCCGAAGTATTTATATGGTTTTAGCTGCCAAAGTTTATTTGTGATTTGGCTATTCCTTCGTGCCAATACTATTTTCAAATGAATCATGACTGTTATCCATTAATATGTTGAAAAAGCACTCAACTTAATTAAATTAAGGTTCACAAGATATTACATGGAATTTCCAAAAGTGGTATGCCATAGTGTTTTAATTTTCAGAACCATGTCTACCTTTTTCACTTTCTTAAGAAAACAATCCCTGTGTATTAACCTCAACAAGTCTTATAACATATAAACCACAAAAGTTTTCTTTACCTTTTATGTATATCTTCATCAGCTGTAAATGGTAATACAAATCCGTCTTCATCTAATTTAATTTCAACATCTGGTAAGAGAAGAAAGGAAAAATTCTTCGTGTGATACCCTCACAAACACTAGCTTCCTTTTCTCCTTGTTGTTTTGATTTCTTCCATACTACATTTATCAACTGGGCAGAAGGCTGCAAAGTAATGACCGCACCAGACAATCGTGAGAATTTTAATTTAATCAGAGCTTTGCCCAACCAAGTCAGCTTTAAACTAAGAGGGCCTTCACTGCACTAAAACAAGGAGGGGGCCCTCAAGGTATCTGGGGCATGATGTGACTCACACACACTTTTACTCTCCTTATAACAACTGGTGGGAATAGTGAAGAAAATCCTTTAAGTAAAGTCAGACACCTGCACAACTGGCACCTTGCATCCCTGGAGCTCCAGTGCCCAGGGAAGGTGAAACAGCCGGCAGCCCAACACGTGGGCCCTGGGTGCTGGCAGGCTCCCCCTTCCTTCCTTGTCAAAGGAGCCCATAAAGGAAGGGAGTGAGATGTGACCACCTGAAGCCTAGAAACACTGTCCTCCCTGAGCTCACTGTCCTTTACTCATCAATTTGAAAGAAGGACTTTGTAGTCAGTGCTGTCCAGGATGATGCAAACGCTCATACCTGCTACTGAGCACTTCAAGTGCAGCTAGTGCAACTGGGGACCTGAACTGTGAATTTTCAAAATTGGAATTAATTTAAATTTAAATAGCTACTGGTATGTGTGGCTATTGCTTTGGACAGCACTGGCCAAGAGGATGAGAGCAGCTAACAATTACTGAGCACTTACTGTCTCCCAGGTATTAGTCTGAGTTACCTCATTTTGTCCTTAAACAAGTCTTTGAGGTCACTACTCCTCTTACTCTCATCTTGCAGATGAAAACAAGCAAATGAATTCTCCGAAAGGATGCCCAAAGGCATTCGGCTACTATGTGGCTAACATGGAGTCCTGACTCTTCAGCCCTACCGCCCACCCCTGCTGCAATTTGCCTTCAGGGAAGGGCCAACTTCATTTTGTTCCCAGACCTTTGGTGGCTACTAAGCCCCACGTGTTCCATCAGAGGACAGCACACTGAGGTTAACAACAAAACTCCCTACTACTTACCTATCGTGTAACAATAGGGTGTTAACACTTTTGAAGCAAAATACAATCTTGCTCCTAAGAGGTCAATCAGTCCAATCATCACAGATTTATAAAGCTGAAAATCCATGGGGGTCTCCAGGGAACAGCACGGAGTAAGAAATGATTTCACTTGATATTTAGGAAGAAGTTTTGGACCCTAAAAATGTATGTGCAAACACGAGAAAGAAAAATAAGATACAAAATCAGAGAATAAAATGAAGGTTGCCTGAGTATAAAAGTCTGATCCAATATTACTTTATAGGCATGATGCTTCTCCAGGACTCAGGACAAATACCTTTCTCAAATGACAGCGCCAAATATTCTTGTAATAGTTCAAGCCCAATAGTCCAAAATATCTTTTAAATGTGTCTTAAATGTAGCCAATGGTGAAAGAAAGAAAGAAAGAAAAGAAAGAAAGAAAGAAGAAAGAAAGAAAGAAAGAAAGAAAGAAAGAAAGAAAGAAAGAAGGAAAGGAAAGAAAGAAAGAAAGAAGGAAAGAAAGGGAAAGAAGGAAAGAAAGCTCAAGAAACATCTTTGGAACTCTCAGAATTGCTTTAAGGGCCTTGAGGAAACACAGCTGAAGTTTTTTAATAGTGGAAATTGTGATAAAGCTGACATTTCAATTTAGAAAGAAAAGGACAGCTATGTAATAATGGTGCTAGCAATTGGTTATCCATCTGGAAGAGAACTAAGAGTTCTGCCACACATTACAGACTATGATCTATTTCAAGTAGATTAAAGATCTAAATATAGTATAGAAAACAATATTTTTTAAATTTAGTAAAATATTTATATTACCTAAGGAATCATAAAATATTTCTAAACAATATAGGAAACCTGGCAGCCATAAAAAATGAATAATTTGACTATAGAAAACTTAAAAATTTCTGTATAGCAAAAAGGCATCATAAACAACATTAAATTACAACTAAAAAAATTTTAAACCACAAACCAGGAAGAAATATGTACAACGTACTTAACAGTTAATATGTTTTACAATGTGTTCTAGGACAAAAAACAAATACAAAAGAGAAAGACAAACAACCCTATACAAATAGGAATTAAGGTGTAACAAGGCAATTCATAGCAAGTGTAAATGACCAGTAAACATTTGAAAATATGCTCAACTTCATTATCGCTCGTTAAAGTGCAACTGAAACATGTGACGTGACATTTCACTGAGTCAAATGACAAAATTAAAGGGACTAAGAACACACTGCAACACAAATGGGGAGACATGGTCACCTTCATTCACTGCTGGTGAAATATGGCATCTACAACTATACGGGAAAAAAAAAATCTGTCAGTCTCTATTGAAAATTAGTCCAGTAATCCCACATTCAGGAATCTAGCCTTTAGCTTAAAACAACAAAAAGGTTCCAGTATGACAGGATATGTAAGTATGTTTATGACAGCATGGCTGATCAAGACAAACGTTTGAAAAAGCCTGAAAATCCATCAATGGTAGGACAGTAGAATAAATACCGTGAAATATCAGACCATTCTTTAAAAGTATACGTTTGATCTTTACCTGTTATCCCTGAAGAATGTCCATGATATACTGGGAATAAAAGCAAGTTGTAGCTTGAATAGTCCCATTCCATGAAAAGAGAGAAACTAGATGGTGTTTATGAGCTACTCATAAACATGGTTCAGTCAAGTACAGAGAACCAGGCAGGAATGAGCAAGCTGGAGGTACCATTTCTGATCCTAAACAACGTGCCTGATTAAGTTAGGAGAATGAATCCTTAGAAAGCTTTATTCAAAGCTCGAACTCCATGTAAACTGAATTCTATCACGTAAGAGTGAAACTTCTGCTTGGTTTAAGAACATACTCAGGAATGGTTCAGGATTTGTTCAGTGCATAAATTCACACTTCTATATCCAAAAGCCATGGGGAATGCTAAAACCCTCTAAAATCCCTAGAGAAAATCTAGGAGCACTAAGACTCATAAGCCTGCCATACTTGATAAAACCTTCTAAGAATCTTACACCGTAGGAAGTGGTTCTTTCAAGGACAAGAACACAGGAATAGGGTCAATTTATTAGAGAAAAGGCTATCTGGTGGCAACTATTCCAAGTGAATGAAAATTCTGCTTTCTAATGAAGTTACTGAGACAGCTCAAAAGAGAAGGAACTTAAAAGATTCGGGAGCGGGGGAGACGTTGGAGAGGAAGACAGAGGCCAAAGAATACCATCCCTGTAGGGAAATAAAGCAATGCAGCTCATGCTTTTACCTTATAGAACGGGCATTCTAGAATCGCGGTTAAGAAAAGTTGGGTCAGTTGTGCTAAGCTCAGTCTGTCCAAATAGGACTCTTCACCTGAAATAAAAAGCATCCCAGTCATAGTTAAGCTTGAACTTTGGTGTGTGTAATAAGAGAAAAGAATATCCAGAATGCACGTTAATTAATTCACTCCAATAAGGTACTTTTAAATGACACTAGGAAAAGAACTTGTTAGAATTAATTATACCTTCTTGCCTCCCCTCTCAATGAAATCTCATTTTGGCTTCCAAGAACGCATGATCCTAACTAGAGAATATAATTAAAAGTGACAAATGTATGTTAGTAGAATTTGTAGGAATTTCCTTTACCTACGGAGATCTAGATTCCGGCATATTTGGGTGGCTTTGAATTAAGATGAACATCTTCTCAAAAAAAGGAGTGATACAGTTGTTCTCATCAAAGACGCTAACATGTAATTGTGACACTGCCACAGCCATCACCAGATCCCTGCAAGAAGAGTCAGTTTCTCAGCTAGGGCAGCAGAGTCTGTTTACCCGAAACTGTTTTCTCTCTACATGCAACGTTCTAGCATTCTTTAACTCTGTGTTTATATTAGCATCTGCAGCTTCAGATTTCTTCGTTAGATCATTATGGAAGAAAAAATAAAGGCAAAAAAAGCACTGCTCAATAAAAGAGGTACATATGTGATTTGAAAACATCACAAGTTCAAATGCTAAGTTTTCTACTTTCAGAAGTAATAACCAACTCACCTTGCAGCTGTTGAAGAAAATACGGGCTGAATATTTTGGCCATAAAGTTGACTGGATGGCATTCAATAAGTGAACATGAATGGAGAAGTTTCAATAGTGTTTTGGGTGGAAAATAATTGAAACGAGTTAACAGTATGTTTTCTAGCTTCCTAAATAAAGCAGAGGCATTTGGTGGCAAATAATTGAGTTTTCCAAATGGTTCAATTAACTCAGCAGTTAGATTAGGTGAAAATTTTTCTGACTGACAAACGAAAGTTTCTGCCGCTGCATCGAGGATGGGTTTTGAAAAAATCAGCTTTCTACTGCAATACTCCATGACTTTGCTGACAACCTCGGGATCCAGAGTGAGACAGAGGGAAGCGACATGTTGCTCTAGGACTTCTGTAAAAAATCTGTCATTGTGCCCAAAGTAGATGAATGCCTCTAAGACTTCTTTGAGCTCTTCATTAGTGAAATGAGGGATATGCCTCACAACATATTTACCCAATTTTATAACCAGCGGAAGTGCCTGAGTTTGATCAAGGACCACCAGGGCAGTGAGCATTTGGCTCAGCAACTTAGGACTCAGGTTGGAAACTACTGACAGAGAAAAGTTATTTATCTTATTTAAAAACGTCTGGTGTTGGTCAACTTTTTCAGGACATGCCTGCAGTATTCTGTAAAGGGTCACAATATCCTCGGGGGTAAATTTTTCCAAATTTTCACCTTGCAGTTGATATATAATCAGGTCTAGTGTCGAACAACCTGGACCTTGCAGTTTAATCAGACATTCCCCCAGGATACAAAGACTGTGAATGTCCAAGCTACCCATTTCGAGACGATGCTGGCACTTTGCCAGGAGGCTTAGCAGCAAGCGACTTTGGGGATCCACATACAGGGTCAGGGCTTGCAAAGCAGTCACCAAACCCATGTTTGACAGATTTGAGGGGTCCTGTGCAAACTGATTACACAAAGCTTGAAAGGCACTATTCTCCAGTATTTCTTTTGGCAACCTTTGATCATCATCTTTTTTTTCCATTTCACAAATCCGATGTAAGGCTCCTGCTGCCATAGTATCAGGCAAGGTCTGCAGTGTGCTTATATAATGTAAGACTTCTTCCGATGAAGTGAAGCTGTTTAGTCTCCTGTAAAATATCTGTTCATCCACATTTTTAACACTGTGTTCAGACCTGTCCCAAGCATGTACTTGAGAGAACACTGGCTCACCAACTGGATGAAGGTCATTTCCGTTTTCTGAATGGAACTTTTTAGAATGGGCATGATGGAACCTGACCCTAACAGGCTCAAGTTGCAGTGACCAAAACCATGGACACAGATGCTCCTTGACTGTCTTCTGAACACAATTTACATGTTGAGTTTTCAGACCAGCCAGAGCTCCATGTATCCGAAAATCAGATAAATGACAAAGGTTCCTCCTCAAGGTAATTAAAGCCATGCCACCAGACTCTCAACTCCTCTTGATTTATAACTACGCTAAAAGAATTAAAAAAAAAACACGGTCAAATATACTAGAACACAGTTTATTCAACATCAATGCTTATGGAACTAAGGATGAGTACCCCAAAAGGAATGATTCCCACTAAACATTTCCCACTCAAACAGAAGTACCAGAAGAGCAGCGTCTCTGCACCCTAGAGCTTAGAACAGCGGCTGGATCTCGTAATAATCGCTCTCATTTGCCAGGCAATGCTGTACTTAATTCTCCCAACAACACAACGAATTAACTACTTCGATGTCATTTTAGAAACGAGGGAACTGAAGTACAAAGATGTCACGTGGTCTAGTTTACACAGCTATTAAGGGGCAGAGCTAGGCTTCAACTCAGGTAGTCTGGATCCTAAGTACGACTCCTATGTGTTGGTTGATGGGCGGAATTGCGTTTGGTTCAACTTCCCCAAAAGAGGCAACGGGTAAAGTGGCCATGAATTCGGATGGGTCAAAGAAAGGGTGAAAAAAGCGCTTAAAGAGCCTTGAGGTGTTGGTTTCCCCTCAGTTAGTATCTTGTTCCAGGACCGAGGAACAAGAAGGTCTAGCTTGGCAGATGGGAAGAAAGAAATGTCAGTAGAATAAAAAAAGACCCTGGTCAACGACGGGGTAAAGTGGGTGGCGCGCCCACACCTGAACACCCCCGCTGTGGAACCTGGGAACACGAGTGCGCGGGACGGGGAGGACGGGGGACCCCGGGGACCGCGTCCTCTCTGGAGGGAAAGGACCCCACGGGCCGGGCGCCCCCCCAAACCGCCGGGAGCGGCGCCCGAAGAGTGGGGCGAGCCAGGGAGCGCGGGCGCCTTAGCGAAGCCGCGGGCCACGCACGCCGGGCCGGAACAACCGAGCCCAAACCCGGCGTGGACACCTACCGGACTCGGCGCGCTGGGAAACCCAGCAAAACCTGAATGCACAGCAGCCTCTTGGGCCCCCGTACGCGCACGCCGCGCCGGGGCCCAGTGCTTCGGCGCCTGCGCCTGGAGGGGAGCAGCCCCACGTCCGGCGCGCCGTGATTGGCCCAGCTCCTTTCCCGAGCTTCCTATTGGTCTCGGGCGCCGACTGTGTGCGCAGGCGCGGGAGCAGGGGTCGCGGTACCTTCGCTTTCCCCAGTGTCGCCGCCGGACCCCCGCAGGTGAGGGCACGGGGGTGGCAGCTTCCAGATCTGGGCGCCCGCCCATCACGGGCCTGAGGGTGGGCGGCTCGGGGTCGGCGAGGGCACCGGCTTCCGCGTCCCTCCCCTAGCCGGGCTGGGCGCGTGCGGGTCGGTCAGGACCCCGGCCCTTCGGGGCTGCGGGCGGCGCGCGCGGAGGGCGGGCTGCGCCGGGGACTCGGCCTTGAGGCCTCCCCGCTGCCTCTGGGAGCGGGTCCCCGGCGGCGCCGCGGCGTTTGCACAGCGGAGCTGGTCCCGCAGGTCCCTGTGGGCCCTTCCTCCGTCGGCACTTTTCTAGACGGGGTCAAAGGGCACATTCGGGCGCAGGGTCAGGCGAGGGCGTCCGGACGGGGCGCCGGAGGGTTAGGAATGTTGGGAGCACGGACCCGGCCGGACGCAGGCTCATGCTCCGCTGTTTCTCCGCCGGACCTTGCCGTGCGGGTGCCGGTGCCGGCGAGCCGACCCCGAGAAATGCGGGGTGCATAGCGGCTCTACGATGTCGTTATGGGGCTGAGGGGCTCATGTTCTGAAGCTCCTAGGACCGTGCGTGGCTCCTGGGAGGTGCTCCTTAGCTATGATAATAAGCGGTGCCGTTTCCATCAACCGTTGTTTTCGTCGGGTGGCTGTGGTCATCGTCCCCGCTCTGAAGGTGCGGGAGATGAGCCACCGGTCAGTTGAGAAGCTGGCCTAAAGTTCTGCTCTTGTGAGTGACCCATCGTGGCTGGATTCAAGCCCCAGTAGTCTGGCCCCAGAGTGTGATTTGTGTGCCGCGGAATTCGAGCTTCATACCTTGTATCCTCCTTGGTTTAATGAATTCTCTCTCTTCAACCTTTAGAATTAATGCTAACAAACTTAGGAGTATATTTCATATTATCTGCGGATATTGTTGCAGTTATTTTAAATTAAGAGAGTTCATACCTGCAGGTTGATTACTACTTCATTAAGAAGGAAATCCCTTTTTCCCTTTTTGTTCTTCAGTGTAACTGTTACAGCTGTAGCAGATGCTTTGAAGTGATGAGGTTTTTGTTACTCTATGCTACACAGCAAGGACAGGCAAAGGCCATAGCCGAAGAAATAAGTGAAAAAGCAGTTGCCTATGGTTTTTCTGCAGATCTTCACTGTATTAGTGAGTCTCATAAGGTAAGTCATGGTTTTTACGGTGTTTCATACTTTGAAGTATTCTGGGTGGGAAGCGGTGTTAAACAACGAAGTGGGACGCTGAATGCCACCATGATCCTTTTTTTGTTTTAACACTTAGAAATTTATTTTATCAACTGTGTTGCAAGATTCCTGCCAGTTTTCTTCTACGTGTGTGTGTGTGTGTGTGTGTGTGTGTTTTGAATTAAACTACATAGTCTTAAAAACTAAGACGAATAATTCCTCTCAACTGTAAATGGGAATAGTAGTATTCGCCTCGTTTTTCTCACGGGGTGCCTGGGAACAAATGAGGTGTGCGTGTTCACAGGAACACGGGAGCTTTCCACCTCATGAATCCCGCTGCCCCATTTGTAACTTCCCTGAAATTCATGCCAGAGTTCCTCCAAGTGAAGAACCATTGAATTCTTTGGTGAAATAGAAGTTAAAGTGGAGGTGTAAGGATCTGCAGAAGACTTGGGACTGCTTGTTTTTATCACTTTCAGTCTCTGCAGAAGTTCCCACCTTAGGATACATGAGATCATAACAGATCTGTGCCCAGACTAACTGGTTTGATTGAGACCCTCAGATTATAGTTTCATACCGTTCAGGCCCTAGCAACGAGCAGGGGCTCCTCCCTAATACCACACAGTGATGTGCCAGCCACTAAGCCCTCGAATTCAGCTTGGTACTTGAAAACCCACCCCTGCAGTGCACTCTCAAGTTCACAACCTCCTCTGGTCTTTTCCGCCTCTCTAGTTGTAAAGACTAGCCTGTCAGCAGCAGAGGTGAATTATAAACTCAGTGTATAGCAGGGAAACCATCAAGTTCCTTGATGCAGCAGGGCTAGGGTGGCCCCGATGGAGTCATTCACCCAGCAGGGAGGGTCCTGGGGGACACCAGCAATCGCAGGCTCCGTGATTCTACAGCACCTTCAAAGTGAATTCACATTGCTGCTGCTACAGGGTGGAGTACAGTTCGAATCTGTCACTACAAACAAAGTCATCAGCATCATATAACCAGCCCTGGTTTGGCCCCCTCACCAGTGACCCCAGTGGGGTCAGCAGCTATTTGAAAGTTAGGTGAGTAGTGAATTTTTTTGCTGCCACCATAGTCATGTTGTTTGCTCTTCCCAGCTGAGTGATTTTTCCAATTGTTCCTGATCCAAGTTTAAATTGATAGCTCTCTGCTTCCTAGATCATGGTAGTCTTTTTCAAACTAAAGTGACTTTAAATTGCATAGAGTTGTGCTGTGTCCTATAAGCCCGGTAAAATGTTAGCTCAAGTCTTTACCTGTTATATCAGCATGAAAAATAAAGTGATGAATTCCTTTGTGCCAAGTTAGATGATATTCTTGAGGAGCAGAGCTCATGGAGTCGATACGAATAGAGACAGGCAAGTGCTTTATTGGAAATACTTCCATTTAGTTGAGAATTAGAATAAGGAAACTTGGTTTGTAAGACTCGGAAACACTGATGATCTCAGTTTACCACTGACGATATTCTCGGCTCTCTGGAACCCTGAGGGAGTCGGGCCCTTCCTGACAGCCAGGTTTCCTGATTTCTGAGGAGTAACACTTTCTTTGCCAACTTTAAAATGCTCTGTGTACCTCTCTGCCATTATGTGATACAGACAACAAGACAGAAAATTAACCTGATTGCTTTGCTGATGTGTTAAGTCAAAAATACATACAGCAATAGATCTCTGACATGACACCCTTATTTTATAGTATGATCTGAAAACTGAAACAGCGCCTCTCGTGGTGGTGGTTTCTACCACGGGCAACGGAGACCTGCCAGACACAGCGCGCAAGTTTGTTAAAGCCATACAGGACAAGACACTGCCGGGTGACTTCTTTGCTCACCTGCGGTATGGATTACTAGGTGTGGACTGTATTTTGTGCACTTACTGTACTGTTGCTGCTGGATTCAACTCTAGTATCTAAATGTATCTTTCAAAGCCATGGTGTGTAATTGCCTGAGTTTTGTCCTTTTTGGGTTTTTATATAAATACTTTATGTATGTATAATATTTGAATGTAAATAAGTGCTGTTTCCCCAGTCTTCACCCCACAGCAGCTCCTCTGCAGAGCCCCTGAGTAGCACCATAACCCCGGGCACACACCAGATTCAACCAGGAAATATTTTCACGATGTTAGTGGCCAGGCCACACCCTAAATCTGCCAGAACAGAATCCCTGAAGGAGCGACCTGGCATGCTGGTGCTTTTTGGCATTGTTGTTGTTGTTTTAAAGCTCTCAGGTGGATGTGATAGCTTCCCTAGGGGAAGACCCATTCCCCTAGGATGTGGTTCTCAGGCCTGGCCATGCACTGGGATCCACTGGGGGAGTTTTCCTTCCAATTCCATTATTTTGAGCCCCCTTCCAGTGATTCTGACTTAATTGTTCTGAGGTAGGGTCCTGGTATCAGTATTTTTTAAAGCTCCCAGGGGACTGTAATATGTATCCCAGCTTAAGAAGCACTGGCCTAGGGCTCTGTGAAGTATAAGTTTAAAATATTAAAGGATCAGAGGACCAGCTCAGCAAGATAGGACACGAGAGAGGGAATTCAGGGTCCATTTGCCTGTCTTGTGATCTGTATTCACCTTTGAGAACTAGTTTGGGGAAGGTATCTAGGAAGGATGGAATGTGCTATGATAAATAATTGGTTAGAGATTTGAGGTTGTGACCCTGGCCAAGATCTGTCGTGTAATGTATTCAAGAGAGCATTTTAGAGTGTTCACATCTTTTTAATTTGTTTTCTTCCAGTTTCTTTATTTTCAAGAGTGGACATGTACATATTGCTTTAAAAATTCCTCAAAAAATTATTTAAAAGGAAACACTAAAGCTTATCCAACCATTTTAGTCAGTCTTAGGCCCATATATGGACCCACCAATTGCTTACCTCATTCTTGTAGGAAAAATCCAGGAAGACAATTAAACAACTAAGAAATGTAAGCTTTTAATTTTAAATTTTCAACTAAGTATGAAAATATTAGTCCATTTCTTACCAGGAAACATAGAAGCAATTCTTAATTTATCCAACACAGAAATAGAGCAAATAAATGGTTGGTTGTGTTTCAGATGTAACCTCTTCATGTTCTAGATTAGTAGTCAGTAAACAGTAAAGGACAAGATAGTAAATATTTTAGGCTTTGCAGGCCACTGGTCTCTATACCATCTACTTATCTCTGTTGTTGTCGCTTGAACCTGCCATAACAAGGTGTGAACCAGTGGACCTGGCTGTGTTCCAATAAAACTTTATTTACAAAGACAGTGGGTGGTAATTGGCTCACAGGCTATAGTTGCAGACCCTGCAGTAGATTGGAAAAGTCTGCAAATACAGATATTACATGTTTTTAATCCTTGTTTACAGATTGCCATATTTTTACACAGATTCATGGAAACAAAAATGTGAGATCTATTTCTGTTAATAGTGGTCCAAAGAATTTATTTGTTTCTATTTGTATACTTAGTATTTCTCAAGGAAAAAATAAGAAAATGTGAAGCTATACATTATTTCTTGTTCCATCACCAGCAGCATGGAATGATATTGTTTTAAATGTTTTGTTTCTCTCTTCTGTATGTGGTTAAATTTAAACCTTATTGCATACTAATAACCTATTTGGGCTCTTTAGGTCTGGGTGATTCAGAATACACATACTTCTGTAATGGGGGGAAGATAATTGATAAACGATTTCAAGAGCTTGGTGCCCAGCGTTTCTATGACACTGGCCATGCGGATGACTGTGTAGGGTAAGAGCAACATATTTTCTGTCATTTCCAGTAAACGTTGTTTGTACATGATGAAAGTTAGTGAGTTTATAAAAGGGGTTCACTTTTGATTTATCACTAAACTTCAATCTTGAAAGTCTTATTTTAGTTTTGTTAGCTGTTTTTAATTTTAGCACCAAAGAAGACCATCCAGAGTTTCACTTATCTATTTTGCTGATTTTTTTTTATGTGCCTTATCCATCTCAGTATCTGTTAATGGAAGAAACTAGGAGAGGTGCCCCAGTACAGTTACCTTAGTCTTAAAAGTGCGTAGGTGTTTGCAAAAAGTCAGCATTTTCTTTAGGCACTCGGGTAGCATGTGCCCACGGGAGCGACTGGACTTGGGACCTCCCACGTGAAAGGTGCCCAGCAGGCCACGAGTTACAGTTGGAGGATGCGGGTCAGAGGCCTTCCCGGCACACTGGCTCCTTGGTGTTCTCCCTCCTATTGGCCATTTGCCACCATGCCAACTGGAAATATAATTTCTATTTCATTAATTTTTTCTTGTTTTTACAACTCAGCATTTCACTCTATGGGCCACCTTTCAAATGTTCCTAATGTCTTAATTCAGAAACCTCACAGGTACTGAGCTACAACTTATGCTGTCGTTTATCCTTGAACAGCTTTAGCCAGATAACAGCACTCACACACACACATTTGATTCTTTTTCTACTAGGCGTATGTACTAAGTAAATCTCACCCACTAGATCTGTGTTTATGCATCATGACAAGTTCAGCAAAGGTCGTGCTTTTCTACATATATCACCTTGCCCGGGTGTGTTGGAGACACTTCTGTTTCCCCATAACTCAGCGTTTGAGTCCCCTACATCCATCGTTTTCTGCAGCTGTGATACTGTGGGTTTGTTCCTTCTCCCCAGGGCATATGTCCTGTCTGGTGACAAAGCTCTACCACATTTCCTTGCATGTTATCTTTTTTGTCCCTTTGTATTGGGCTTCCCCCCAACCCCGAACCTTGTTGGCATTAAATGTTTATTGTCCTGTATGAGCTATTTAATTGCTAAACCCTTATAAATCCATTAGTCCTATTGCTCAGTTCATATTTTACTTAAGAGGATTTCGGTTTCCCTGTTCATTTATTGGATCGAGCATTAAAATCCTTGAATGTATATTTCAGCAGCCTGCATCTCTTAAGTTGTCAACCTAAATACTCTTTTTTAAAATTAAAATATTTTCAAGGACACATCTTGGCTTAAAGTACCACCACACTGAAGGGGTTAAGAATGTAGACTGGAGTCCATACATCTGGGTTCAAATCCTTGATTTTCCCCACTTACTGACTGTGAAACCTTGGTCAGATTACTTAAACTTTTTGTGCCTTGGTTTCTCCCTTGTAAAATAGATAATAATAGTACATGTTGCATCAGGTTCTTTGGAGCATCAAATGAATTAATACAAGTTGTTATTTTAGAACAGTCCCTGCCTTGTCGTAAGCATGCAGCAAGCATGAGCTTTCTGATTTATGGGTATTATCATCTTACTGTTTCTGAGGTGTGAGAATGGGGTTTTAAATGTAGCTGTCATTATTGAACTGCGGATTTTATATGCTTGCTCTTCCAAAGGCCCCTGAGGGATAGATGTACTGTGTAACCAAATTTGGAACTAGTACTGTGTGAGCACCAAATGAATATGATGAAATTATGGTCAAAGTTGCAATGACATGGAGGTCTAAAATATGTCTCCTCTTAATTGTCATTTATCTTTATGAATTGGAATTTAATCGATAACTTGTTTGAGTGTGATTGAAAATGACAAAGATGTTATTCGCAAGGTCCTGATGCAGTCTTTCTTAGCAATTCTATGCACTCTGTGTGCAGTTTCTGTCCAGGGAGTGTAGGGACTGTTATTGTTGAGCCCTCATACTTTGCTAGTAGTAAATAGATTACTGTATTTTAAAACATACTTATGATTTTCTTAAATTAATTAATTAATTAATTTTTGGCTGCGTTGGGTCTTCGTTGCTGTGTGCGGGCTTTCTCTAGCTGCGGCGAGCGGGGGCTCCTCTGCGTTGCGTGGGCTTCTCATTGCGGTGGCTTCTCGTTGCGGAGCACAGGCTCTAGGCATGCGGGCTTCAGTAGTTGTGGCACACAGGCTCAGTAGTTGTGGTTCACGGGCTCTAGAGTGCAGGCTCAGTAGTTGTGGTGCACGGGCTTAGTTGCTCCACAGCATGTGGGATATTCCCGGACCAGGGCTTGAACCCATGTCCCCTGCACTGGCAGGTGGATTCTTAACTACTGCGCCACCAGGGAAGTCCCCTGTATTTATGATTAATTCAGCTTTCCTAAAGGATTATTGCTTTTTCCCCCTGTGGTCAGCCTGCCTGGAAATTTTACCAGAATAATTGCTCAGAACTGATCGAAGGTTTGAACTATTAGTCAAAAGTGTGTTAATCTGTAGTGGTTTCTTGGTAATATTTTAATCTGTGGGAAACAAAGATCAGTAAATTGGCTAGGCAAAAAAAAAAAAAAAGATGATGCATTCACTTGATGTAATTATCATTTGTGATATTAGAGTAGACTTGGATTTTGGGTAAGTACTGTTAGCCTCATCAGAATTTAGCATGCCTGTTTAAAATTACAGCTTCTTAAATTACCAACTCTATTTTAGGAAGTTAAGAGGAATCACACTCCTATTACCTTTTACTAAATTATCTTCATTTTTGCTCTCTGAATTTTTTACAGTGCAGCGCTAATGAACACAATAATGTTCTGCTTTTTAGCTTAATCATTCATAAGTATTTTTTGTATTCTGAACAGCCTCTATATTTAGTGTTTTTGACAGTTGCACAGCATTCTGTCAAATGGACAGATTCTGCCATTATCCAATTGTTATGTATTTAAATGGAGAACTGAGGCATTTGTTTCTTTTTTCCTTTTTTATTACAATCCAGTTTAGAACTTGTGGTTGAGCCATGGATTAACGGACTCTGGGCCGCCCTGGCGAAGCATTTTCTGTTGAGTAGAGGAAAAGAGGGGATGAATGGAACTCTCACAATGGCATCTAATGCCTCCTGGAGGACAGACCCCGGGACACCGGAATTACTACACATTGAATCACAGGTCGGACTTCTGAGATTAGATGATTCCAGACGAAAGGATGCTGAAGTTTTAGAGCAAAGTGCAGTGGACGGAGGTCAATCGAATACATTGATTGCAGACTTTGAGCCCTCGCTTACCCGTTCAATACCCCCGCTTTCACAGGCCTCTCTGAATATTCCTGCTTTACCACCAGAATATTTACAGGTGCATCTGGAGGAGTCCTTTGGCCAGGTAAGCAGTTTTACTTTATGTGCCGTGGGTGGTGGTGGTGGTGGTGTTTTTTAAATTACATTATGATGGAGTCCAGCAGACTGTGGCGTGCAGGGAGAGTGTGGTCTCCCACCTCTCTTTTGTAAATAAAGTTTTATTGGAACCCAGCCATGCCTCTCCATTCATGCGGTGCCTGTGGCTGCTTCTGCACTGCAGTGGCAGAACTGAGTAGTCACTGGAGAGGTGCTACCTCCACACATTGCACACCTGCTTGTGTTGTTACATTCCCTTTCTTTGAAGAAGGAAATGGTTAACAACTCAGTTTCTCCATTATTTTGGAGAATTAACTTCTTGGTTTCTCACTTTATGTGTCGGCCAGATGAAGGCAAGTTGTTGTGGGCAGTCAGGAAATTATCGCAGCAGCTAAACTCAGAGGACTCATGTATAGGAAAATCTTTTTCCAGTATGGATTTTTGATATTCTGGGTTACTTCACTTCGTGGGTTTTTCTTTTTCTTGATAATATCTTACACATATATTTTTGTCTATATTAAGTCTTTTTCTCTTTGCATAGAGTAGTTTTCCTATCAATAAATAAATGACTTTAAAGTGGTCTGTAAATTTTTGAGCATCAAGTTGAATAATAGCTAATATTACCCCACGATTGCCAGTGTATGGTACTCTGAAATTTCTTCCAACATGCTTAGAATAAATTTCCAGTGCAGCCAATCTTGTAATGCAGAGCCAAGCCCTCTTTTTTAGAGTGGCTGATTGGAGTCCCACAGGGGCTTTCTCACATAAACCACACCTTTAGTAGTGTTTTTCTAATGCGTTCAGATAAACAGGTATGGTTTGATATGACCAGCCATGGGTTATTGCTTTTGCACTTATACTTCATTATTTATTAAGTGGGTAAATCACAATAAGTACATTGTAGTCAGGGCTGGGAACAGGCATGGGTGGCTCTAGTAAACATGCCGGGCTGGTGGGAGCAGGGTGCATGGACTTGTGGAGAGCCAGCCCCCGTGTGCTCGCTGCAAGGACGGGTGCATGTGGCAGAGGCGGTGAGCGCTGACTGATCTGACAAGGCACTTCACTGAGAATCTGCCGAGAGTTTCTTTTATGGTAGGTATCATTAAATAGGCTTGAGTTGTTGGTAATGTGGTTAAAAGATTTTTAAAAATCTCAACTATTTAAGGGAAACTTGTGTAAATGTGTTCAAAGGATATCCTAGAGGGTAAGGGGTTGGGGAAAAAAGTTTCCTTTTTTAGGTCATCCTCTTGGGATCATCGCCTTGGGGGCAGGGTGGGTGGGAGAGGGGAAGCAGGATTGGCTGAGTGGGAAGCTGAGCTTCAGTGCAGCCGTAAGAAAGCCTTCAGCTGGACCCACTCATGCCACACAGTGTCGTCTCCCCATCCCTTCTGCCTCTAACACCGTGGGATCTCCTGGACTGTGTAGTACAAGCAACACAGCCTCCAATGAGCGTGTCACGGGGTCCTGCTGCAGAGCTCCTTCCTGCTCTGGGCCCCCCTCAAAGCTGGCCACTTTTGTGTTGCCTGGTGTTTGGGTTGGAGCAGTATCTCAGTATCCCAGAGCCTGAAGAGAGGCCTGCAAGGTGTAATGCATCTCTCTAGGTGAAGTGAAGTGCAAGATGAGATAGTGTATGCTTTACTTGGGAGGGGATGTCCTGACACGCACCAAACATTGGAATCCTAAAAATTGTACTTACACCACAGGCCCTCAATCTCCATAAGGCACAGAAGACTCCAGCATCATCTGATTAGCATAATGGTGTTGATACTGTGGACTAGTGTGATGTTTTGCTGAGTGTCCAGATGTTCTACATTTATTCGCACTGTCTTGTACCAGCAAGCAGGAACGATGTCATGGTCTTGGGGCAAAATTGTAAATGTTCAAGTGAAAGTGAACATGTCTAGTCCTCTTTATGGATAGAAATGGAAAAGAGCACCTTAGCTAAACCTTTGTCCACGTGCCACGTGCTATTTCTTTTTGCATAGTTCGTTAGGAAGACGGTTAGACCTTTACATGAAAAATGGTAGTATCTGATATTTTCCGTATATCTCAGAAATTCTAAAGTCTAATAGGCAAGTTTAAGGTGTAGATGAGCTTCTCTTCTGAAAGACTGAGAGGCATATGTCTGTTGCCATTTACCTTAGGGAAGAATACTTAAATAGGGCATTTTAAAAGCTCCTGTAGCTCTCACCTTGTCACTAAGTGAAGCAGTGGTAAGTATAATTGAAAACTGCATTTAGTAATATTTTATCACATTTGTTTCTCAAGGAGGAAAGCCAAGCACCTGTGACCTCAGTGGATCCAATTTTTCACGTTCCAATTTCAAAGGCAGTTCAACTGACTATGAATGATGCCATAAAAACCACTCTTCTGATAGAATTGGACATTTCAGTAAGTTACAGAATGTGTTTCTGAGCGCAGGGATGTTGTCAGCAAGTGCAGAGACTTGTGCTGTGTCCTCATCTACACACTCAGGAAGAGTGAGGTCTGTGGCTGGACAGCGGCGTTTTTATCCTTGACCCATCATTTTTTTCTCTCCGCCTCATACCTTTTCTTTTCACTTCAAGGAGGGCCTAAAATGAGTGACTGGAGGTGATTCTACTTGAGAGCATAGTGTTGCTGCCTTACTCATTAAGCCGTGAAAGAATAATGGAATCAGAGCAGTATTTCCATATAAGAGCCCCTGGAAAGGAAGCTGTTTATCTGACGTCAGCGGCTAGTTGGAAGTAGAGCCAGACTAGACAGTCATGTGACATTCACTTCTCAGAGTGGTGGTCCTTGTTCCTTTGAGGACCTGGAAGAAATCACGGACCCACTCTCCAGAAGAATGATTATATATAAACACTTTGCACACAGTTTTTGGGCATTTATGTGCTCCCTCTCTGAACCCCATCCATGAGGCTTCCCCAGCCGCTGCCTCATTGGCCTCAGGTTAAGAAACTGGTTGTACGTCCTCACAGCCACGTAGCTCAGCCCTTGACAAGGGCCCTGCGAGGTTCCGTGGGCTGGGCTCTCAGAAGAGGGTGCACCAAGGCCGTCGATGTGGGTTTAATTGAGTTTCTCATAGAAAGAAAGAAATGTGACAGGCGTCAGAACTAGATGGTTTTGCTTACGTAGTATTGAGTAGTTGCATTTTCCTTTTGAACATTTTAATCCATATTGCTAAATATCATATGTACACCAAACCATTTCACTCTTGTTCTGTACTTTCGTCATAAAGAGGCGAGGTTTGGCCGCCTGGTAGGGACGGCCTGTGTCCCTCTCAGGCTAGAGGTGTGAGCATGTGTGGCCAGAAGCCCCTCTCCAGAGCGTTCCATACCCCGCACCGCTCTAAGTAGACCTGCTGTGGGAGGTGGCTCCACCTGGAGCCCAGGTTTGTGCACGACCAGTACCGAGCCCGGTGGTTTGACGTCATGTGTCATTAAGGGAAAAGAAATTGCTCTCCCCGACCCCTATTCCTCCCCAGAGAAAAGGAGTAAAGAAAGGAAATTGAAAACCAGTGCAGACGGCCTTAAGTAGTTTCTTTTGCTCCTAATATGTGTGTGTGTATATGTTTTCATGAGAGGACTTTTACATGGATTATTAAAACACTACTTAACAGAGCACCTTAATTTTTAGAAGAGGCAGAGGGTCTTAATTTCTAGTCTGTGAATACTCAGTATAAAGCAAAACATTGGATAACTACAGAATTTCTTTTAAAAAATAACTCCTAATAAAAGTATATTTGTTTGGTTACTTGGGCTTATTTGTTAGAAACAAAATAATTCTAATTGCAATAAACTAATTCATTTATTCAAATGGTCATATATTTAAAACTCTGTTACCTCACAACTAAAACTCTTTTAACTCACGTGGAATTTTTTGTATTTCATGTTGGTTCTTCTCTAGAAAACAGATTTTTCCTACCAGCCTGGAGATGCCTTTAACGTGATCTGTCCCAACAGTGACTCAGAGGTACAGCACCTACTCCAAAGACTGCAGCTCACAGACAGGAGAGAACATTGTGTCATCTTGAACATTAAGGCAGACACGAAGAAGAAAGGTACAGCCCTGATCTCTTATTTCCCAGGATGTCATTGGGCCAAGGGATTGGAGGTGACCAGGGCGAGTCTGCACAGATGCCCGGGGGTCGGCCATGGATCAGCAGGCGGAACACAGCCACTTGCTGGTCTTGGAGGTTTTTAACTTTCACATCAAGTACCCTGAATGAGTCAGTTACACTGAATGAGATGGTAATAGAGTTTATGCTTATTGGATGCTTACAGACATTAAAAGTGAAGTTGAAGAATCAGCTTTTTCCAAACTCTGGAAATCAGCAAAGCTTGCAGCAAACTGGGGAACGCTTAAAAAAATGAACGTAACTGTGTTTGGAGAAGCAGGTTGGTTAGTTGGGCTGACTTGTTAGGCTGTTTTTTGCAATCAGCATTATTTTGTTTCTAGGTTAGCATATTGTTATGCAAAAAAAGACTGTATTATATGAATCTTTTTTAAAAGTCTTTTGTTGGGAGTTCCCTGGTGGCCTAGTTGTTAGGACTCCAGGCTTTCACTGCCGGGGATGAAGTTTAATCCCTGGTCGGGGGAACATCCTGCAAGCCACATGGCACGGCCAAAAAAAAATTATTTTTTTTAATGTTTGTTTCTCATAGCATATTTGTTTTTGCTTATTTAATATATGAAAATAATTGCTTGCTCCATAATTAAAGGAAGTTATCTTTTTAGTTATTTGCTTAGAATCTTGAACTGGAATTCAGTCGGTTCTGAAGTTCTTTTTGAGGATGATAGGCAGTGTTATTGGACCACTGCCATCTTTTGGCTTTTTGTTCCTTTCTTTTGTTCAGTGGTTTTGGATAATTTCCCTTTCTTTTGTTCGGTGTACTTAGATTTGGTAGGTATGGCTGGTATAGTAGTGCTGTTCAATTTATAACCATTGTTTTTGTAAAGTGGGTTTTTTCTTCTGTATTCCTTTTGAGGAAATTTTTTGACTGAATAAACATTGCCACACGTCATATTGCCACAAGTACTTTGATAGCACTATAATGTAAAATATTACAGCTATTAGTGTTTTTAGGGATGGAAAACATTGTCTTCTCTATTTTCTGTGTCACTGACTCTTTCCCGTCTGCCTGAAAAGGAGCAGCCTTGCCCCAGCATATACCTGAGAAGTGTTCTCTCCAGTTCCTTCTTACCTGGTGCCTTGAAATACGAGCGGTTCCTAAGAAGGTATTTTTCTTTCTTCTTTGGGTGACTATTTAGGGTTTGTCTTTATAGGGTTTATTAAATCTGGTATGTGCCCTTTGAAGGCTTAGAAAATATGGTCTTCACAGCATGTGTTCAAAATAGTTCCCAAGGTGTGCAGTGTCTTTGTAATTGTCATGAACAAATATTTTTATGTTGTGCTTATACTGAAATTTTTTGTTTTCTACTGAAATGAGATTTTTAAAGTAGGGCTTTTTCTTAATCTTATTTTTCTAGACATTAACTTGATGTAGCATGGTAACTAGTGATGAAAGTGGCCCTAGGTAGCATGTGTTTTCCAGCTGTACGTGGACACTTTTTCTCTGGTGGGCAGGAAGCTTGGCGTGTAGGGCTTTTCCACTGCTTGCCACCTGTTTAATGTTGTGAAGACCCCTTTTGTGTAAAAACCTGTACTTATTTATTATGTCAGAATTCTGCAGGGAACATTGAAGGGTTTTGGTAGGTTATATTGATGTTTAGATGAATTTGGAGACAGAAAGATCCACTAGATGTCAGTGTTATGCCGGGAACTACTGATTTTGTTATAACCATGTTACTCAAGTGGATATTCATGGGTATACTTTCCAAGTTGTGCTTTACCAAACTTGTATTGCCAGTGAGCATAAATAGTACTATTATTCGGCTACCCTGTCCGCAGTGCAGTGTTTATTCTGTATTTTATTATTGTGTTTACTGCATTTGTAGTCTTTGGGAAGTGAACTACTTTATGGAGAGGCTTAGTCCTAGATAGAATTTGAGTAAATATACGATTCACTATGATGAGAACTCCTTGATTAAATTAAATAGTTTCACAATTTTAGTTTAACTCTTCCATTTCTGAAAATTTCGTGAAGTACATATTTAAAAATATATCTTTCCTTACTGCAAAAGTAATATGCTTATAAAAAGTCTGGACACAAAAGTAAGTAACTCAGGAAGCAAAAGTCCTTCATAATCAAACCCCAGCAATTAACAGTTGGATTTTGTTTTGCTAAGGAAAAATGAGGTCATGTAGTATATGTGCTGTTCTGCAACATGCCTTTTTTTACTTGAAAGGAAATGAGTTTGGATATGCCAGCATGGAAAAGTACTGAAGATACTTTTAAAAGATGCTATGTGTGCAACACAGTTGTTGATTTGAGGACTTCCCTGGTGGCGCAGTGGTTAAGAATCCGCCTGCCAATGCAGGGGACACGGGTTCGATCCCTGGTCCAGGAAAATCCCGCATGCCACAGAGCAACTAAGCCCATGCACCACAACTACTGAGCCTGTGCTCTAGAGCCCGAGAGCCACGACTACTGAGCCCACGTGCCACAACTGCTGAAGCCCTCGCACCTATAGCCCATGCTCTGCAACAAGAGAAGCCACTGCAATGAGAAGCCCACGCACCACAACGAAGAGTAGCCCCTGCTCGCTGCAACTAGAGAAAGCCTGCACACAGCAATGAAGACCCATTGCAGCCAAAAATAAATAAATTAATTAAAAAAAAAATTTTTTAAGAAAAAACAATTGTTGATTTGATTATGGACAGTTGGTTGTTTCCAGTTTTCCACTATTTAAAAAACCTACATAGGTGAACAATCTAATTCATCTTTGCACACTTGTTTGAAGTCTTTTTAATGTTTTTATTTATTTTTATTTATTTATTTTTTGGTTGCGCTGGGCGGTGTGTGGGATCTCAGTTCCCCGATCAGGGATCGAACCCATGCCCCCTGCATTGGAGGCATGGAGTCTTAACCAGTGGACCGCCAGGGAAGTACCTGAAGTCTTTTTTATTTTTATTAAAAATTGTTTTAAAAAACTTTTTTTTAGATTTATTTGTATTTATTTATTTAGGCTCTGCCGGGTCTTAGTTGCAGCATGCAAATTCGTAGTTGCGGCATGCATGCGGACTTAGTTCCCCAACCAGGGTTCAAACCCTGGGCCCCCTGCATTGGGAGGGCAGAGTCTTACCCACTGGACCACCAGGGAAGCCCCCTGAAGTCTTTTTTAAAAAGTAAATTCCTTGGAGTAAAATTACTGTGTTAAAAATATTTCTAACTTAAGTTTTAGTAACGTTTGTCAGTTTGTTTTCTGCACAGTGCTATATTTCCTATTTTAGTACCATGAAGTTTCTGTAATTGTAAAGTGAAAAATATTGTAAAGGATTTACAATTGCTACTATTTTAGCCTGTAATTTAGGGAATTTTATTGACTTGAGAAGGCGTGGTGTGAAGTGTTCTTGGTAAACTCCTGTCTTACTAGAGATTCATGCAGAGACCTGGGGCTTTACGCCACGACGTTTCCCAGGTGCTTGTTCTGTGTCCAGCACTTTGAAGAAGCCATGTAATTTGTTGGTATCTGGATGGTTTAAGCAGGGATTCTTGGCTGGGCCATTGGAAACCCGTGATCCTCACAGGAACATGGATCTCATTTTCCCTGTTAAGGGCATCCAGCCCTCTGGGATGTGGGAGCCATGGAATAAAAAGTAGTGGTGCCCACTCGAGTTTCAGGTAGCTTTGATGCAGATGACTTGCCGAAGTTCTTTGCTTCCCGTGAGTAATGGGAGTTTTATGTGTCCCATGATGGATGTATGTGCTTGGAATTGCATTAGAACCAAAAGCTGTCATTAGCAAGTTTGGTCTTTTGCCCAAGAGTTTGGACTTGGTTCAGTCTTTGAGACTAGGGATCTGGGACTTCCTTGTTTTGCTTTATTTATGTTCGTCTCCTCCTCTTTCCACGATGGGTTCGAGGTGACTCAGAGTCCCCGTGCAGGGGTGTGGATGTTCTGGCTCTCACTGTTTGTCAGCCTCTGCCCGTGTCCGCATTTCCTTGCATTTGTGTTGAAGCGCACGTGCTCCCCAGGAGCCGTGCTTTTGCCTGCGTCCCGTGCCCTCCTGTGGCTCTGCCATCTCTTTGGCTGCCCGTCACTTCCTTTCTTCCATGCAGCCCGCCTTCGGCTCAGACCTGCCTTCTGGGGAGCCTCTGGCCTCAGAAGCCCTGAACGTCCGTGTGCCCTGGTGGATAGGCAGCCTGTTGCACACTGGTTACTTCTTGACTTCTGTTGCTCTCACTCGCCTGTGAAGCCTTTTGGGCAAGTTAGGTGTCCTCTTTGCCCCGTGCTTTACCTGCCCAGTGCCTGTCATAACAGTGGTCAAATAAATATAGAAATCTGGGTTGCAGTCATCAGCTAAGGCGAGAACAGGTACTGTGTCCTGAGATAAAAACGTTAAGTTGTGAGACTTGCTGATTACTCACATATACCTGCCATGTAATTTGAGATTGGGTTGGTTTAAGATACAGGGAAGGTGACCAAAAATGGAACATGAAAGTGGGGTTTGCCTAACAGGCTGCCATTAAAACGAATAACAAATGAAATGCTCTTGTCCTGACCACACTCCTAGTGACCACACTCACTTTTTCTTGGATAACTGGGCACATCCCCAGGTGGATACTCAGCCAGCGTTCTAATGGCTGTAACCACAGAGCGCGTGGTGATTTAAGTCGGCTTCCTCGACCACAGGCGTTCTTGCGAGCCCTCGTGGACCACACTGGCGACGGCGCGGAGAAGCGACGGCTGCAGGAGCTGTGCAGCAGGCAGGGGGCGGCCGACTACAACCGCTTCGTCAGAGACTCCCGTGCCTGCCTTTCAGACCTCCTGCTGGCCTTTCCGTCCTGCCAGCCTCCGCTCGGCCTCCTGCTTGGTGAGTGGATGCTGTCACAGTCACCCCTGCCCCGGGGGGCAGCCTCTCCATGGTAAGAGCACCTTTGAGTTCTTTGCAGGCCTGTGGGAGTGCATCTCAATCACTGTGATCAGTAAGTAAGCGTCTTACAGCTGCTCTTCACGCTGCCTTGACAGCTGAACTGCCTTCTTGAAGTCGAAGGATCTCTCTTCCAAGCTTAAATTTTTATTTTTTAATTTTTCTTTCCTACCACTGTCACTGTCATTTCCTCTCTTAATATAGCCAGCCTTAATTCTCTTAGTCAAATTTTATCTAAAAATGAGGTTTCCAAGAAAAGGATCTTTTTCAAAGATAGTGATAATTGATGGAGTCTGGTGAAGCGTGCGCTCTGTGTGCAGGGTACAGAAATGTTCCCACCTGGGGAGGTCCACCAGTACAAACAAGTGGCCTTACTCACGGTGCCCCGGGGCATTAGCCTTGGGAGAGACAAAACATCCAGATGTAAAAAGATCATATGCTGTTTTTTTGCCCAGATTGTGTCTTCTGGTCCTCATACTCCAACAGAAGAGAGTTTAAGATCTTCCCTGAGGAGCTGGCCTCAGGAATTGGAGACGTTTACTAGGGACAGTGACTATAAGAATCTTATAGGATTTTAAAACCTTCGTTACTTTCCTATGCTTTTGATTTTGTCGTCTCCTCTCTCTTTTCCTTGGTGATAAATAGTAAAATGTTTAAAATTTGCATTTGTGTTTGGTGACAGGAAAACAGGTACTTTTTACCCAAGGTCCCTTTTGATGCCGAGTACGGTTAAGGACACTCCGCTTTACGAGTCGGGCCGTACCCCTTTCCCTTTTTATTTCTTAGTGTTCTCTTTCCTCCTCCTCAGAGTGGTGAGGCTGCCGTTCCTGCGTTCCTGTGCGAATGAACACTCGTACCCCTCCTCAGTTGAGTCTTTTGAGCTAATAGAGGTGTTGGGATAACAACCAGACACCCATTAGGGAAGTTATAAGAAGTCTTGTAAAGCTGTTAATCATGGGAAAATTGTTCCAATTCTTTTTATAGATTTTCTGTTACCTTTTTAAGCTTATATGTATCATTTATTATATAGTTATGTAAAAAAATTAAAGGCATTGAGACATAAAAGTTTTAATTATTTTCTAATTTCTGTAAGAAAACTTGATATAACTAAAGTATTAAGGTGAGCCCTCTATTAAACCTTATCCTGATATTACAACTGTAAGACATTTTAGAAAGGTCTTTCTAAATTTTTGCTAAATAGCTATCAAAAATATAACATATGGAGCACAAAAAATTATCAGGGTTTGATAGTGGACAATCAGATACTCAAATACTGACTTCTTAATCTCTTTTTAAAAGAGTACCTATGTATCTTAAAACCACTAGGTTTCTGGATAACTTGATTGAATAATGTCCACCATTACACTCCTGATTTTTTGTTATTATCATATAAATATTATGAAGGAAAAATATTTCAAGCCTAAGTATTTTCCATAGTCCTTAATCTTTTTTGGGTCATGATCTTTTTTCAAATCTGGAAACTCTGGACACACCCCAGAAAACAGTGTAATTGGTTCCTTGACTCTGAGGCCCATTCATGGACCCTACTCTTACTGCCCTTTGATGTTTAAAAAAAAAAAAAAAAAAAAAACAGCTTTTAGGTAGAAATACTGAGTTCAGATTGGGGAAATGTGATATGTCTGGTCTTTAAGAATTGGAAAAAAGTATTTAGTGATATTTTACTTAGACACAGTGAATTTATGTGTGCTCTGAAATATGATTTAAAATTAAAACAAGTTATTTAGAAATTCTAAATAAGAAAATAGGAATCAAATTCGTATCTTTACATATAATTTACATATATACTTATAGTTTATTTTCAGTAGGAATGAATTAATAATTGCTTATTTTAATTTTTTTCTAGAACATCTTCCTAAGCTCCAACCCAGACCATATTCATGTGCAAGGTACTCACGTTTATTAACGTAATACTTAGCCTCTTTCTCCTAAAATGTAATGAAACTCCGACTTCCAAATGCTTAGTAGCTGCAAATCCATTTACTGAAAACTTAGCAGATTTGTGTAGGACAGTAGCAGACGTGATGCAGAGTGAAGAAGAGCAGGGTTGGACTGTGTCCTCCCGGAGTTCATAGGGTGTGGCTCCCGTGGTCCAGAGCCGTGTCCCCACTGAGCGAGTCTGCAGGTCCTCCACCTGTGGCCTTTACTGGTGTGCCCGGCCGCCTTCCCTGGGTGGACGTAGGGAAGAGGGAGGAAAGCTGGTATAAATCTCATTCAGTCTTGGCGGCAAACAGGTAACCAGAAACTGTCCTGAATGGCATCACAAAACTTGGTCGGGGCGGGGGGGCTTTGAAGTAAGCAGCAGAACTGTTTTCTGAAGAGGAAGAAGGTAGGTTTAGAGCCCATTAGGAAATACCCTCATGCAGTAAAAAAGGCCTAGCTTGGCCTGTATGTGTTAGTCCTGAGGCGGAGTTTACAGACTTATCTCTGTGTCTTTGCAGCTCGAGTCTGTTTCACCCAGGGAAGCTTCATTTCATTTTTAACATCGTGGAGTTTGGGTCTGACACCATGGCGGTGGCTCTGCGGAAGGGCGTGTGCACGGGCTGGCTGGCCACGTTGGTTGAATCGGTTCTTCAGCCGAACACACGTGCCTCCCGGGCAGACGGCGAGAAGGCCCTGGCACCCGAGGTACTAGGAGTGGGCAGTTTGGGCATCATTAGAAGTGTGCTGTTTGCCCGATTAGAAAAAACAATGTAGGGTCCCCTGCATTGTCCATTCCCCTCAAATTATTCAAAGGAAAATTTATGCCCTACTTGAATTTTAATCTCTCTTTTGGAAAGTCAGGAGAACATTACTTTCACTCAGTGTAGTCCATGTGTTTCCTAAATGTGAAAAAGCATGAATTTTGTATAATACATACGCTCTTTGCTTCTTGCTTGTCACATTCATAAAGGAGAAGACCTTTGCGTCAGTGTTCTTGGTAGCTTGGCACAGGAGGAGTCAAGTGCACGGTGAAGGCTGGCAATGAGGAGGAGCCTCATTTTGTGCTCAGTCGGTGTCCTGTGCCCCCAAAGGAGTCGTCATCTTAAAGTGGCAGCTGACAACCAGAGATTAATTTTACGTCCTTCAGTTTGGGGTAGTAGGATTTTCCCCTGCCTGTTTCTTCCCCTTTTGTTGGAGCCGTGGTGTTATTTTATATTTTGATCCACACTTGGCAAAATCTCACGTGAGACTGTACGCATAGGGAGCAATTACCTTCTCCCTCCTCACCCACAAGGATGGTTGAAATTTAAAAGAATTTCAGTCTTTGTCATGAAGTCTTCTCCATGGTATTGAAGAATGAACATGTCAGTTGTAATGTTATCTTATTACTGGTTTGGTTGCTGTAAGTTACTGAAGTTATAAAGTTGACAGCACTTAGGGGGATTTAAGACTTCTGATACACACTTGAGTGAGCTTAAGGGAAGACTAGGGCTTAAAATTGCCCTTTAACTTGGTATTTTCCCAATCTGCTGCCTGGAGCAGGTTCTTCACCATGTGTGTCCCTCATATCAACAAAATATTGAGAACATGAGAAACTTCTTTTTTGTAAAGAAATATTGTAGTACTGACATGAAAGTATTGTGTCACTTCATGATCTCATAAAAATAGCAGATGATCTCCAGAAAGCTAAAAAAAAAAACGTATATTGATGTTGTATTACAGACACCTTTGTGTGCCTTTCACATATTCTTTCTTTCCTCCCTCCTACCCTTTTCTTCTTTCCACATTTTAACAGACCTTTGTGGACTACCCAGTGTCGAGGCACTAGAGGTACAGATAGAAGGGATATAATTTAAAGCTACTTAAATTTCGTTGTGCCGTGTAGCACCATATTTTATTCAGGATCCATCCACCGCATGCCCTCCCCTGACTGGTAGATAGTACTGTTGTTCACAGATGCCCCTGCCCCCTGAGGAAGAGTAGACTTGCCCTCCCATTCATGTGTAGCCTGGCCATGTGACCAGCCTTGGCCAGTGAAAGGTGAGCAGACAGGATTATGCCACATCTCAGCTCTGAACCTAATAGGATGCTGTGGCTTGCCTCTCTTGCTCTTTCGCTCTGACATCAGATGGAATGATTCAGGTCAGGGATGCTCCTTGGGTTTGGATCCAAGTGAAGGAGATCATGGTGCAGAGCTGCAGCCGTTGAGCAGAGCCAGAAGTAAGCGTTTGCTGTTGTAAGCCATCGGAGATTTACAGCAGGAGCTGACTAGTATTCTGGTCTCTGCCATCCCTGGAACATAGGAAGTGTGGTCTCTTTAGCAGTTTCCTGCCATACCCATCCTATCCTGTTTTATTTTGCTTCCTGGGACTTATCATTACCTGTCATTCTATAAATACATGTTTGTTTATTGTCTTTGCCACCCAGTAGAATATAAGTCCCATGAAGACAGATTTGGTTTTGCTCATTTCTCTGTCCTAATGTTTGTCATATTGAGTACCTTCAATAACATTGTTAAGTGGATGAATCAAGTGAATAAGGCTAATATAATATTAATTACAGTTTCACTCCAAAATGAGAACAATCAGTTGATATAGCTCTGCCAGTTCTCCGTTTAAAAAGTACTGTGTTCATCCTGTTGATGAACTTCAGACAATTTTCCTTGAATTAAAGGTTAAAATATATACAATTATACCAGCAGGGAATGGAGGGAAGATTCCTGTCATTCTTAACTGTTATTATCACTCTGTGTAACTAAAGCATATGGCAAAGTGAAACTGAAAGATGAATATATTTACAAATTGATTCCCTTAAGTATCCCTGGCACATGATTTAGAAGAAAACCCTTTTGAAATTATAGCAAAAAGATTTTGTTTATCTATGTATCACTTATTCTAGTTTTGCAACAAACACAGGTAACATGGGACCTAGAGTAGCAAATGTAGCACAGTGTTCTAGTATCTTTGGGGCAGCCCCTTAATTTCTCTTTCGCTTGCCTAATTTTCACTTAAAACCTTTACCCCATCTTGATGTTAATCTTCATTACCCCTTTATGTCCTAACATGAAGAAGAATGTCTTCATTTTTTTGTGCATTTCTTCATGACACCTATAGTGGGTTGCCTACTAGGAAGCAGATCTTTTTCTTGGGCCTAGAAAAACAACTCAATTATTATTTATTCAGTGTTCTACCTCAGATATATCGTGCCTGTCATTTTTAAAATACCTTTGATTTGGATAGAAAAGAAAAATTTACAAGACAGACTTGTTTATTTCTCTGCACTGACAAATGTGTTTGTGGTTTCAGCAAGATTTAATGCTGCTATTTAATTTTATGATGCTTCTTTGAGGGGAAGTTGCACTTTCTGATTTCTTTAGCAGGCATCACCTTGGTTATATGCTTTTGTCTGTTTTTTTTCCGAACTTATGAGCATTGGTTTAATATTTCAGATATCCATATCTCCTCGGGCAACAAATTTTTTCCATTTACCAAATGACCCCTCAGTCCCCATCATAATGGTGGGTCCAGGAACTGGCATAGCACCTTTCATTGGCTTCCTGCAACATAGGTATGTGTTTTCTTTGGCTGGTGAGAAAATGTGTCCCTTGTGGTCCTGGGTGGAAGTATGTAATAGAGAGCTTTTTTGTTTTTTCAGTGGTTTTGAGGATATTGGACTTTGGTTGTAAAATTTTTATTTTAAAATATTATTATCAAATATGTGATAGCATAGCATAATTTGTCACCATGGGAAAAGTAAATATATCTTCTAGAAATTGTGCTTTGTACTGGAACTTCCATTTTTACTCTAGTACATTCTTTTTCTTTTTCCCCTACTGAACCATAGTTTATAGTGCATGTATTTGGGGACAGATTTCAAGCACACCTTTATGTTGTGGTGATGTGCAGCTGTCCCATCTATTCCTTAGCTAGATAAAATTGGTAGTCACAAAGATCCAAGTGCACCAGCAGTTTCAAAGTTAAACCCTTAACATCAGTAATTTTCAACAGAATGATATTAATAAATGTATCTTTGTATTAGAACACAACTATTTTTTATAAAATAAATAAATAATATTGTGCTTCTCTCCCTGTTTGTGAAATAACAATTCTTAGGTAATTTTCCCCAGATAGTGGAGTAATATCCTTTGTACAAGGTCTTTTTGTTGTTTTCTTTTCTTTTTTTTTTTTCTTAAGAAATCAAAAAAGTAGGGCGTGTCCATCATTTCTGAAACATTTCACAGCAGACCATTCTACCTTTTAAAGCCTGGTGCGGGGACTTCCCTGGTGGCGCAGTGGTTGAGGGTCCACCTGCCAATGCAGGGGACACGGGTTCGATTCCTGGTCTGGGAGGATCCCACATGCTGTGGAGCAACTGGGCCCGTGTGCCGCGGCTGCTGAGCCTGTGCTCTAGAGCCTGCAAGCCACAACTGCTAGGCCCATGCGCCACAACTGCTGAGGCCCGTGCACCTAGAGCCCATGCATGCTCTGCAACAGGAGAGGCCGCTGCAATGAGAGGCCCATACACCATGGTGAAGCTTGGCCCCCGCTCGCCACAACTGGAGAGGGCCCACGCGCAACGGTGAAGACTCAACGCAGCCAAAGATAAAGAAAATGAATGAATTTATTTAAAAAAAAAATCCTGGTGCCACTTTTCTATTATGTTAATTGAGAGTTAACTTTTATTCATAAAATTGTTATGAATATTTAGTGTAGAAATTAGTCTGGGTTTCACAATGTGATAATTTGAATTATCCTCACTACAGAGATGTCATATAAAGCTCATAGATGTCTGCATTTCGTAGGTAAGCTAACTTTTTGTAGTGTCTGCTGGAGTGGCCCAGGTACCCTGTGGGTAGTGAAATGTTAATTCAGTACATGGACTTTGAGTGACTGTGAAGGTGGATTTTACAGACCTATCTGGAGAGGTAAAAGGAAAAAGAAAGATTGCTTTTACCTATTCTTTATATCAAACATCTCAACTTTCTTTTTTACTTAGAGAGAAACTCCAAGAACATCACCCAGATGGACACTTTGGAGCAATGTGGTTGTTTTTTGGCTGCAGACATAAGGATAGGGATTATTTATTCAGGTACTTCACAATTCTAGCACTGTAAGACTCAGCCATGCCATACAATGCTAATTTCAGACTTTTTCAACTTTAAATTACAAACCTTCCAGTGACCTATTAGATATTGTATTTCAGAGAGGAGCTCAGACATTTCCTTAAGTGTGGAATTCTGACTCACTTGAAAGTTTCCTTCTCAAGAGATGCTCCTGTGGGGGAGGATGAAGCCCCAGCAAAGTATGTGCAAGACAGCATCCAGCGTCACGGCAAGCAGGTGGCAAGGGTCCTTCTTCAGGAGAATGGTCACGTTTACGTGTGTGGGTAAGTGGCCATCATGCTCAAGTGCCGGGGAGGGGAGGGCAGTCAGTAATGTTTATTAAAGAGACCAGGGACCGATTGGTTAATGATCTGGACATGTATGGATGAGAGATTTGATTCTTAAATACAGGAATAGAAATACAAGCTCTAAAATGATTTTTAACATACACTTAATAGCCAAGAAGTTGGCCAGCGTGGCCACCCCCCCGAAAAAAAGAAAATTAACTCATGCATTGGGGAATGCTTTGTGCTGTTTTAAATACGTTTTTAGCCTCTGAACGTTACATTCTGTCTCAGGATTGATTTTGTTGTATCAGTAAATAGTGAATATGTGATTTGTGCAGTCGACCTAGCCAAGGAAAACAGCTTTGGTTTTGACTCTGAGAATGTGGGTCTAGGATCCTTTTTCTCTAAGGCATAATTTATGATGTCAAAGTTGACATAAGCCAGGAGTCATTCTTATGTTTCATCTACTTTTTTTTTTTTTTTTTTTTTTTTTTTTTTT